AACCCCTTTTTTTGGTGAACTTCCCGGTTATCAAAAACCCCATCCGGAAATATCTTGGAGAGCGGAAGAAAAAAAAAAGAAAACCCATGTGGCATCAACCTTTGACCCGAAAAAAGCACGAGGGATATGAGCTGTACATGGATATTAAGGTCGTAAGAAGAAAATAGCCCTCGAAATAGGTGTTCCATAACCTCCATGCACGACAAACGCCCAGTGAATGCTGTGATAACATCCCGGCCCCCCGAGCCGATGAGATCGATAAAAACGAAGCAGAAAAAGAATTCCAGATGTGCGCCATATATGCAATGCATGATCGTGATCGTACGTGTCAAGAAGGAAAGGCTGTGCTGTGTTGCAAAGCAAGTCTGTGAAAATTCAAAGAAACGCGTAGGTGAAGTGAATCGCAGGCGACTCAACTACCATCCCTTCACATGGTACTCCCAGGGACCGTAGTCAGTGGTGTAGTTGGTCCAGGAGCCATTCTTGCCCAGGTCGAAGTTAGCAGCATTGGGGTCTGCATCAGCACTAGCCTGGTTCGGACCAACTCCCTTGTGTGGACCCTTGGGACCAGGGTACTCGTGAAGGTTCTTCATGTCGTGGGCGGTGTGGCGACGCTTGAGGAAGGCATTCGCAGTCGCGCTCTTCTGCTGGCGCTCCCAGAGAAGATGTCGGCGGAGAGACTCGGTCAATTCAGTAGCAAGCATGTTACGACGGGTGGTTCGCGGAGAGTGTGCCATAGACTGCGAACCGTTGGTGTTCATGACAATAGGCTTCGATCGGGGAACATCAGGTCCACGCATGATCAAGCTTTCCTCTTCCTTGCCAGGAGGGGACTGGGGAATAGATGGACCGCTGGGTGAGGTCAACCGCGATCGTTGAAGTGCGGGACTGGACCGGAACGCGTTTCCTTGCATGCGGGCCGGCTGGTGCATCATCATAGTGAGCATCGAGCGGCGAGAAACGAGATTCGGCCGGGAATCAACCCGTTGGAACATCTCGCCTCGTTCGTCAACGCTGGACTCGCCACCTTCAGTGATGGAGTCCTCCCAATCAGAATCTTCATCATCCTCGATCGCACTCTCCGAGACTTCATCGTCAGTCTCAATGGCGTCCTCGTCGGGTAGACTGATGTCCTTCGAGTTAGGAATGATGTGGGATGAGACCTGATTACTGAAGGAAGCAGTCTTTTTCGTAGAGTTCGGGTTGCTGTTTTTCGGTTTCAACCCTCCACCGGTCGCGTTCTCCTGGGCTGCCTGTGGACCCATGCGCTCTTCGAATGAGCTTTCATCGTCATCTCCAGAGGATCCGCCCAATGTAAACATGCCTCCCTTCTTCTTCAAGGGCGATGGCCTCAGTTGTGTAGCAGAACGAGAAGGACTAGGGTCGATAGACAGTCTTGGTTGGGATCTGAATGAAGATGAGATGTGTGATGGAGAGAAACCACGAACAATGCTGGTAGACTTGACCAATTCTGGTCGGCTAGGAAGAATACCAGAAGATGAGACGCTGGTATCGGACGCGTTCACCTGTGCAGTGTCGCTCTCGTTGCCCTCGGGGGCAGTTGTCGAACAAGACTCAGTCGACTCATGAGGGTATGGGGTCGGTCGGACGGCGAAATGAGGGACGTTTCGAGCGGTAGAGACACAGGGAGTAGGAGTGGGGGTAGATGGGCGAGGTGTAATGTCGACAACCGGGGCAGGAGCCTCGACGGGATGAGACATCGGCTCTAGCTGTTTCTTTTCCTTAATGTTGAGGACCATCCGCTCCAAATCCAACGAGGTGATGTGCTTCTCCTTGCCACGGCCGAGGCTGGCTAGTGAGTCTTCACGAACGACAGCTGGTCGGTAGTCGGAAAACTTGGGACGCTTAATATGAGCTTCGATCCGCTCGGCTTGGTCAGACGCGGCCGACTCGACACTAGCGGAGAGTTCGGGCAAATCCCCAGCTTCGGATCGCAGCAATGGGAGGGCAGATGTGCGGTTAGAATTTTCAGGTTCGACACAGAAGGTTTCGCGAGTCCACAACCGCCAACTGAGGTTTTCAAGTCGACGGCCCTGGTCCATGTAGTCGGCACATTTTGAAAAGACTGCGCAGAAAGTCAGCAAAACGAGATTTAATCCTCCAGCAGAATTGTTACTTACCCATCCACATTCCATGAAGACTTTGAGCGTTGGCGGTATCCACCTTGTGAATATTGTCCGCGTCCACCGTGAGAACCGGTGTCGTTAAAGGCATTTTTGCGACGCCACAACTAGGAGTGAAGCAATTGTAGTTATTAAATATCGTTGATTGATGTTCCGGGGTCGCCGTCTCCCCCGATAGTGGTCGTACGGCGCTTGAGATGCGGTGGTGAATGTTCGTAAGAATCAACCGGGTTTCTGGAATGGGCCTTGGAATTTGAGTCTGGGCCTTGCAGTTATGCAAAGAGTTGGTCAATCGGTTTGGGGGTCAAAGATGCAATCGAATGCTCAAGCGAAAGATGCGTGTTCCGTAAAGATTTCAGGTGAAGAATCGGGTCTCGGATGTCCGTCAATTTTCCGTCAGAGCGCCACAGTGCGGAGATTCCGGGGCGAAGAGTCGGAGGAACGGAACGGGGTACTGAAAGAGCGGATTGAGGTGATCCTTCGAGATTGGAGAGGGAAGAAGGTTGGTAGGTTGAGAGTAAGGTGAATAGAAAAATCTGGAGAAAGAAAAGAGAAAGGGAGTCGGAACGATAATAAGAATGACGGGGGGCGGCACTTGGTGGAGTGGAGTGGAAGGAGAGGGGGACGGTAATAAATTATTAAAAATTGAAAAATGAAAAATGAAAATGAAAATTGAATTCTTTTTTTTTAAAAAGAAAATAAGAATTTTAGGGAATTATTGGTAAAAACATAACGATACAAGGGGAAATTGAAAAATTAAAAAAGAAAAAAATTCCGAAATAACTCCAGACCGAGGATAAGGGTCGGTGAAGGGGGAAAATTCAATCGCATCACGGGGCCCTTAATTACATCAATACCATGTCCATGTATTCAAACCCTCCCTACCCATGGTTCCCACAGTATTCCCCTAGTACTTTTGACATTTCTTTCCCTTTCCGACGGGAGTTCCCCCCTAAAATACCAAAATACTACGGTAATGTTACTTTCCGTTTTGATTTACTGATTACCTAAAATATCATCTTGAAGCTCTTCTCTTGATATAAACAGTTTCTTACATTTCAAAGAGCTTAGACATTTATAAAGAATGAGAAATATTCACCTGTGACCTGGGCAGAAAAAGAAAAAAGAAAGAAGAAAAAGAAATGCTAAAAGTGTGATCGAAAGATAACCTCTAAAGCGGTAGTTGCAGTGACTTGCCGGAAGTCCAGACCAGGGCTCTCTCTACGCCACTTAATGTATCTCGATGGTCGTTTGGACATTTGACATTTAGGCACTACCTCTCTTGCCACTGGCAATTTACCTTACTGTGTAAGAAAGGCCTACTGACTGATGAACTGTCAACTGCTAGCTATTGGTTCTGACAGCTGAAGGTGCGGATGACTAACTAGCAAAAGTAAGGTCGCATTTAAGCTCTTTTCAGCTATTTTCGTCACGGACGCTCTATACTCGGACTATGGGGTACACCGCGTCTAAAGGGCTAGGAATCGGTCTAAGATCTTAAGCCACGTTGTGATCATAGATATAGAACTTGGGGCTCGTTTATTCTCATACTTAATTATGAGTTCATTACAACATATAGAAGTCGAAACACAAATCCAAGATTACATCCCTCTAAGCAAGCGCCTCCTTTGGATTCTTTTGTCCCGGCTGAATGTAGTTTTCCCCAGCTCTTCCCCCCGCAAGCAGCTATTAGCCGGGAGAAAGGGATGGTTCCAAGGCTGCATGCCGGGGAACAAATGTACCTCTTCCATAGTAGATCGTCTTCTCTTTTAGATGCATTGCTTTGTTTTAAAAAACAGGTAAATCCCACACACACTCTCATCGGTGAGAATTCTGAGGGATATTCTGGTAAATCACTTCAGGCCTCAATCATGTGAATGAAAAAAATAAAATAGTAAGCCACTTCCAAGCAGCAAGGCAGCCTTACCGCCCTTTCTCTTTCTCTTTTCTTATCTTCCAAACCGACACATCCTGGCCAGATTTTCTATCTTTGATTCAAAGAGAACACGACAGTCGAGAGTGTCACAAACCCAGGCTACATAGTCACGAGTCTGCCAGTTGTCATAGTGCTCGGTTTTCCTTGCTTTTCCTAAAGAGAGATGGGATTGACAGATGACGGTCGACATCAGGAAGGCGTCAATACGTAAGAGGCCGATTTAGAGATGGCTTTTTTTTTTCGTCACGGGGGTTTGAACGCTTACAGCAACCCTTGCCCTCAGGCTCGGACTGGCGGAAAGGAACTGTGTCTTTCCCTACCCGATCATTCCAAACCTCTAACCGGGCGCCTGGGAGGCCGATCCTCCAGGACACGACCCCTGCCAGGGCAAAGTCACGCCAGGCGCACGTTTCATCTATCATGTGATATTGCACCATGAGATCCCTGGCTATAGAAAACAGCTACTACCTACCTAGGTAAGTTGGATCTGACCGACACATATCCAAGTCTGTTATTCCCTGTCAGTATATGGTGTAGATGTTTGCAAGCTGTCATGATGACCATCTGAAACTCCAAAAGTGTAACCAGAGGCCACCAGTGGATTTGCGGGGATCCGGATGCTACAAATCAATCGGAAAATCTGGTGTATGAAGGTTGTTTGATATCTCATTTCCCTCGTAGACGGTCTCAGTTAAACAGGTATCAACCAATCAACTACTATGTATCTTCATTGACCGCAAAAAAATATACCGAAGTCGTCTGATTCGTTCAAAACAGTTCGTTGGTAACAGACGTATCCCTGCGGATGTATGACACTACATAATCATCTACAGGATGCAAAGCATTGTCTGGCCGCTTGTGCAGCCTGAGTTTTTCATAGCTGCTGACCCCCTGTCTGCAAAGCTTGCGCAACAATATCAATGACATATGGAAGTCTTCTCGATGAGCAATCTGACGAGAGCAAGAATGACAGCGCAACAGAAAAACTCATATCTCTTGACTCATCTACTCATCTACACATCCAGTTCCTGTATCACTACCTATGTATTCGGGTTGTACCAGGTGGCAATATGAAACTGCACATAAGATACCTCATTAAATCAGGCATCCTGCATAACGATGGAGTTAAGGCTGCGGCTGGCAATAGCTCGGGCCTGGGGAAATGGAAAGTCACGCCCCCTCGACCAAGGCATGGGAGACAAAATCCCATGATGCCGGGCCGAGGTCCTAACCAGGCGGTAGAAAGGATTCCCACTAGGCGAAGCAAGACCCAAAGTTGGGTGGGTCATTATTATGCTATGCGTTGTACAATGACATTGCCACGAGAATGATCACGGGCAGACCGAGCCGCCAAAGAGGAATTTGACCGAGCCTAGGGCTGTGGCAGATGACAGCTGATGTAGGCGCAGGTCATGATGAGAGCGCGCTTCGGATCGCAATAGCTCTCCGTAGTGCCGATAGGGCAAATTAACTGGGGTATTGGTACCCACAGTGTTATGCAGTACAACTGGCGTATCCCAGGTATAACGACTCCATTTTGTCTAATGTGAGCAATAAGCCGAGCTCATAAAGTGGCAAGGTCACGCGCAAGTCATGTCACATGATGTGGGGTTCCAACAGTGGGCCACCTCAGGGGCTTGTGCCCAGGTGACTTTTCCAATTTGACGCCTCTTACCATTTGATTCTATGAAATCTCCCACTGGATGGGATTTGGGCTATTTGGTTCCTTGCCAATCACCTGAGTCCATGTGACACGGAAATGGATCGGCTCAACCCCATTCTCTGATCTCGTTTGGGTCAATATCGCTTCTGCTTGCTGATTGAACCGTCAATAACTGCTCAGTTGCCTTAGCTTATTGATATGCATAACGGCTTGAGATGACAGCTACCTGTCCGACCCAATGATGTGAGCTAGTAACACAAAAGCAGATACCAGCTTTTTGAATCCAATTCACACACGGATCTCTAAACCTCAGGGGTATCCAGATCCCCTTTCAGGCGAGTACTACTGTCATACAGCATATTCGTTCGTCTCCCATCGTATCATATACCCCATGCAATATTTTGCGAGTCATGCATTGGATGCAACACCATGCGCCGGGTCGATCGATGAGATGACGAACGCTTCTAACTATCTATTTAAGGTGCACATATGTAATGTGGCTGGATGTAACAAAGAGCTCAGGGATTACGGATTAGACAGCTAATAATCAACAAAAGAACCTAGAAATTCTGTAATTTGGAATCGACAGACGAAGCTTAAATTTGTCACCGTGCCTGGATCAACGCGCTTCGCGTCAACAAACCAACGGCCAGAGCTGTCACTCTTTTAATGTGACGGGGCGCGTCGCCGGTGACTGGCACTACCTTGGACGGCCAAACATGTGACATATAACGGTGTACGAGGGTGACGAGTATCTTCAATAATTTACTCCGTACTCCGGTTCATCTCCACGGTCTGAGCTCAGCTCAGGGGGATTACCAATTTTTACCGCCGTGTCGACCTTGTGACTCTTTGTTTTGGATGTTGATATAGATCCAAAATTGAGCGATGATACAGATAGGATAGCGACCTCCAGGCGTCCCCAGTTCTCTTTGTATCACAACAACCAGGCAGCGAATCACATTCCTCTATTTTCCCACTTTGTTTCTAGCCCGCTTCCCCGGCATGAATGTCTGTGCTCAGATCAAACGTTAGTGTCTGATATGGGCTAGTCCATAATTAATTGATTTAAAAAGGGGGACCGATCAGGTATCAGGGATTGTTTGAGACGTGGTATCCAAGAAGTCTATCGGTTTTGAGGTCTAAGAGTTGACTGGTACGAGCAAGGGATACTCGCGGGCTACGGGAATCGAACCCGGGCATAGTTTTCTATATTCATAGAGTCAGGTGGGCAATTGATTCGATGAACTCAATCTAGAAGCATTCATACCAAATGAGGCGGATCAACATGCGGTCGATATATCCTTCTACCAGGTACGGGAGCACCTCAAGTACGTAATGATGTGTTCGTGTCCTTTTGTCCCGTTCCCTACTCTGCAAAGATCGACTTATTGGATAATGCATGTGACCTTCAACAAGGGATATCCGGGGAATCTTCCAGATCGAAACAAAGCTTACTCCGTACTGTATCCGCGAGGCTGGTAGGCCCCGTGAAACTAGCTGAGACGAGGATGGGATGTGGGTTCCTGGATCCTGCGATCCAGCCGGAAGCAGGACTCGCATACCCGCGACGATCATTTTCTTCCGAATGTCTTTAGCTTCTTTCATACATTTCGCTCTGTGCAGACAGTCGACTTCTAAACATCATGTTCTACTGGAACAGGTGACACCCAATTTATCCCTATCCTAGGCGAAGATCGTTCTGGACTTGGGTGTTGTGTCTGTTTATAACCCTCGCCCTTCAATATCGCGGTCTCATCCAAAACCCATTACAATATATCGGTTCAGGTGGTCATGTGTGTAATTCCTGTTGCTCGTTCAACCATCACAAAGTAGCGAAAACAAAAAAAAGGACATCTGTGCATACCATTGAAAGGTCTAGCCCATCATCTCTACTGTGCGGCCCTTGGGCCCGGATCGTCGATAGCTCCCTTGATTGGAGTTGTGGCCCAATAATATATATCCACCCTGTACTATCTGCAGATCATATTCCCAGCTATTTGGTAGCCCTGGCATATCTCCTCTCATTTTTTCAACGTTATGGACCCACTTCCCTTGATGTTGAACCTTGTGGAGGGTTCTATACTCTGCTTCATACAGCAAAGCAAGTACTTGGGTATTATGCTTCATCCGCCACCTCGTCATTACATATTGTTTCTGGGAAAGCATTCTGCGAGGAAATTCCATAAGGAAATTCATATTGGTAAAAGGTCTCATACGCTTTCTTTGCTCGTTCTGGCTGTCTGGTATTTGAGTTGGTGAGATACAGCCCCTGTCATGGTCATGGTTATTTTCAAATTGTGGACTTCCAGACCCCTGATTCGAGATCTTCGATTGATTCCTTTTGTCCGGAGTATGCTTGTTAAGAATTCAATTGCAAGTACGAAGCCCAAGTCATTCATTTTCCCAAAGAGATCCTAGTTGCGTTTTGCTTGTTGCGATGGTCGGAGATACGAAGTAATCAAAGACAAGAGTCTCCAGAAATAGTTCATTTTACAAAACCATCTGACTAAAAGCCTAGACTCATCTATCTATGGAAGAACTAGACACCCTATATTCCTTTGGTTCTCTGTCATTGCACAAACAACTGGAAAATATACGTGCTGATCCTAGGCTGCCTAACCAATGATGCCCCGCAATGCAAGCTGACTGCATCGGGCCATAGACATCCGGTGGCCATTTACGGCGGCTATCTCCTGACAGCTCTCTTTACTTTTCTTCCTTGCCCAGAACGGCTGTAGCGGCTGTATACAAAGACTTTTCTTATCACCGCCGGTTTGGTGTCTCTCGGTGTGTGATTGTGGCGGACGATGGGCTGAGATGGCTGTCTTTGATTGCTTGTTTTTGTCGAAATGGAAGGTTTCATCAACACCATTAGGAGTCAAATCCCTGATTGATAACGAAACCTCTTCTGTACAGTCGTCACTGTGGCTTCTTTGACAGCACGCCACGCGACAGTTTTATGATTCATCTCTTTGATTGTTTGTGCTGGCACTCTATCACTTCCGATTGTGGACGCTGACCGAATATAGACTTCAAAGCCTTGGGTTTCATTTTTGATGTTTCGTTTGTTCCATGCACGATCACCCGTCAGGCTCTGGATATGGAGCCTCCTGTAATCAGGCTAATTTATTCGGGTTTGTCACCTGCTTCCCCGTCAGCCGTGGCTGCTGTTGGTCGCATAATATTTAAAAGTCGACTGAAAACAAAGCCTGTTACGTATATAAAATCAAACATGTTTTCTTGGGGCTTGATGGCCGACTCTAGATGTCGCGATATATCTTTGCAAGTACGGAGTATACAACTAGGTATCCATTCTAACTTTTCTTTTGTTCTTGCTTCTTGCTTCTTATTTCTTTCATATTTCTATAGAGTAATAATGCAGACTCCCGTAATACCACAAACTTTTAAATGCGAAAATAGCTCCCAACTTTGGCGGGGATCAAAATCCGGGGAAGCAACATTGAGGGGACACCCCGGACCCTGAAAGGCCGAAAACGGCCTGGCAAACCATTTACTATTTTCGATCTTACGCAAATAGATTACAAAGGAACATGAAACACATGCAGAATACAGTTATGAAATTGTTCGGGAATAATACGTGCACTATACCAATTTTCATACTTCAGTAGGCCGGAAACATCTACAGATAGGTGAGACCAATGTCCAAGTCGAGTTGTCATAAACCTCAAATATAGCGATCAGTAGGTTTGTGATGTGTCGCTGGTAAATAGGTGCGTCGTGTGACAAGGCCAACGATTCCCCGAAGAAGCGGTAGAACAACTAAATGACATATCGGAAGTGGCTGTTGCTGTCCAGAAGCCGAGGAAGATGCCCAACATAAAACGACTGTCACGAGAAGGGGGAAAACTTCTGAGATCTTAATATAGTCTACTACGAACGAAACGAAGCCACGTCAATCCATGCCCATGTGAGCAAGCTAGGTGATTCAGATCCTAGTACCGATGAGGCTGACGTGACGGTAAGTCATGGTCCGAGGTCCCTTAGATTCAACAGCCGACACCCAGATTTACCAACATATCGATTCTGACCGGACTATGCTCCTTCTCGCATCCTGTTCCACATGGAGCCGGGTCTGCCAGTACCAGGTCATCTGAACAGCGAAAATAATACCTCCAGTAGAAGTTTTCTCCAAGCATAGCGCGGCTATGTCGACTACCGCCGAAAAAAAAACACAAGCCATCGCCTGCTCTCCTACAGGACCATGCAACGTAGCCCGGTCCTATTGAGAACGCAGGGCACAGAACATAGAGAGAAACCCACGCCGACCAGCAGCATACCCTTGATCCAGCCCTCCCCACCCACAATCTACCAAATGACGAAAAGCAAAAGAAGAAAAGCCAGCACAACCAATCCAAGCCCGCGTGTCCCACAGATTTAGTCTCGCCCCGGCCACGAAAATGGGCGCCAGATCGGGGCTTGCTCTCGTACCTGTCAGCGGTGTCACACCACAGCGATGAATTTGCATTCGGGCCGACGCGGAAGCTCGAACCAATCCATGTACACAAGTACCTACTCTGCCTAGGCAGGGTACGCTGTGCCCCGGCGTACTCATCTACGGTTATGCTGGAGCTGACATCCGTCTCCTGTGGTGGCGGCTGCCGCCCGTTCTCTAATATTCCAATGAAGACGCTTTGTAACGCGACCCGCTGCAGGTCATGGGGGGCTTTAAATTGATCTGCTGCGGGATGCAATGCATCGAAATCGTGTGTGCTATGTATAGGTATGCTCGATACAGCTGGGTTAGTATGCCCGCATTATAAAGTCTTTATCCTGGTACGGCACTTACTATTGCCTCGTTTGCTTTGGAACTGTACTACAATGCAGTATTCCAAGTTCAATGGCTTTCTGGCGTAGTTGTTGTTTCAAAATACGACGGGTGGCTGTTGCCTTTATTGTGTCTGGGTATACAGTTGCGATCTGGCTAACGATATTTCAATGACTGGTTGACTCTTTTCTCGTCTAGGCTTTCGCAAAGTGACCGGCCATTTGGACTGCCCAGCAATAGAAACTCGCACATACAAGTGGAAACATCGTCAACACTTCAGCTTAAGGTAGCCAGCTTCCAATATCCCAACACTCCAACATCAACAATTTACACGTGAAAATAAAGAGAGAAAATAGAACTAGCCTAGGCCTGTCTTTGAGCTAGGAATATATCTCACGGAGACTGAGACTTAATACACGGCCTTCACCGTGAAATTTCGATTCGGGCGTCCCGGAGGAGAATGCTCTGATATTGTCTAAGCTATGGTCATTATCGAGTTTATGTTCATTTCACAATTCCCGTTCGTCCCATAGGCCGGCACTTTGTTGCTCGAGGGAGTTCCCCGGGGTCATGACGATCGATACAGCAGAACCCAACACATTTGGGATAATGAGCTTGTTCTGAATTTGCATGACACAAGAATAGTTGGTCGCTTATGCGGCCTTGTGGTTTCTCTTTGGTGGTCTTCTCAGATATTTTGTTTAGATGGCTTTTTTAAGATATTCCCCGAGGCTTAATTTGCGACAACAACTTTTCCATGTATAACCTGCAATGTACTAAAACGTCACTGCGGGTATGAATAACGTAGATCGTTACTATTTTCTGTTAATGTCGGCATCTGCTCGTCGTACAGATTACCTCGTAGAGTGGGGGTTCTCTATAGTGCATGCAGAGACGATCTGATCTTCGCCCTGCGACGATTTCTTCGGGAGGAAAGAAAACAAAACGGAGTATTATCCCGAAATATGTCATTAGGGAGGACGGAAATACAAAATGACAAGAATGAAGAAGCCAACGCATCGTCCATTTGATAGAACATCATGACCTAAACTCGCATGCAAGGCTTCAGGTGCTATTAAAAAAGAAAGTATATATCGATCGCCTAATGCCGATTTCACGAACCGAGATTCCACACTCGTATCCGGGTAACAAGGCAGTGTAGTTCCCCATGATGGGGCATGTCACCAGCAACCTGGGTCCGTTCGTCCATTGGTATTCGGTAGTTTAGAAGACCTTATTTGGAAGGAAATATGACAGAAAAACTGCCCCCACAAATGCGCCCCGAGGTAAACGGAAGCCAGACTCCGAAAAAGCCAAATTTGTCAGTTGATGTTGCGGTGGGAGTCTTTTGGGTGCGTTGTTGTTCCTCGGCATATCGGGTGACCCTCGTGAACACAGACAATCCCACACAATCCCGAATGGAGGCACGGATCTCCCACGAAAATGAACCAGTCTGGTGGTGATGTTGGGTTGGTTTAGATTATTTTTACATGTACTGGTACGTATTTCGCGCTTGCTTTCGGCAAGGACTTCCGGTTGATATCATCTGGTTCCGAGGCAGCAGGGATGAGACAGAATTGGGAACTATGGGTGTTTGGGAGTTATGGGTAAGACGAGTATGTCGTACCAATAGGTGTCTAGCTGGTTCACCTGTATCTGCATGGCCCTCATATGGCTGTTGGGAATCATATGCCGTTCTGGGCTATCGTATGTCTATCTCCATCTATAGATGCTACATAGTTGTAGATCCAAAGACTCACGACGAGAGCGAGGCCAGAAGAAGTGCCCAGATAGAGACATTATCAATCCTTTCGTTTTTATTGAAACTAAAAGGGTTCTATGTAATTGACCATGTTTTTACATAGCAAGCAAACCAGAATCATCAGTTTTTTTTCTTTTACCGTCGTGGAATAGGACTAGAATGGGGTGATCTAGAACTCGGACTGATCATCACCGGAGATAATGACGTTGTTGATCTGATTGAGATTAGCATCGAGCGGGATAGAAATAGTGAATGAGAGCAGTACCTTAAGAACCATACGGCACAACTGGGTAGCAAGCAGAAGTTGCTGGCGCTTGCCAATAAGGGGGTCAATAGCGAAGTGCTCACGCATATCTACAGAGCCCAAGTTAGTAGATGAACAGAACTGAGTATGGAATGGTTTTCTAGGGGCGTACCGTTGGTACCAGTCATCATGCAGTCAACACCGAGACGGGTGTTCTTCTCCTTGACCTGGCGAGACTTGATCGAGGCAAGGGTCTCAATGGGGCTCAAGCCAGAGTTCTCGGAAAGAGCCAAGGGCACGGCATCCAGCGCATCAGCGAAGGCGCGCATGGCATATTGCTCAATGCCGGGGCTCTTGACAGCGGCGTCCTCAACGGCGATGGAGCAAGCAATCTCAGCAGCACCACCTCCGTAGACAACACGGTTGTCACGCACCAAATTGCGGACGACACACAGAGCATCATGTAGTGACCGCTTGGCCTCATCAATGATCTGTAGCTGAAGTTAGCTGCCGGCACATCTTCGTAAATATGGTGCAGGGGTTGACTCACCATTTTGTTACTTCCACGAACGAAAATCGTCACTGCCCGGGTGTTGGCACACTCCTCAATCACCAGCATCTTCTCTCTCGTAGTTCCGAAGCTCATCTCGCGGACAACACCAGCTGAGCCGAGCTTGTCAGGGGTGAGATCCTCGAAGCGGGGCACAATACGGCCGTTTGTAGCAATGGCGATCAACTCAATCTCGGGACCGCCAACCCAACGAACGGCAGGCAAGTTATTCTGGAGCAAAAGGTGGTTGGCCTCATCATCGAAACCCCACTGGCAGATGACCAGGTTGGCACCCGAATCCTTCAGCTGCTGGATCATCTCTGTGAACTTCTCCTTCTCGTAGTCCTGCAGCTTCTTGAATTCCTCAACAGATGTGATATCGAGCTTGTGCTTGGTCTTGGGCTTGGGAGGCTCAAAGGGACAGGTCAAGATAGCCAATTTGGCATCCCGAACTTCGTCGGGCATCTGGGGGTGAGAGAAGTCCTTGTCCACAATAACACCGTGGACAAGCAGGGAGTCCTCGAGGGATCCACCGACCTTGCCGTCAACCTTGATCAACTCGAAGTCGACATCCTTGCGCTCAAAGTCGGCAACCGAGAGCACGGCATCAACAGCGATCTTGGCGAATTGGTCGTGGGACTTGGAGACACTATGCAAACTGTCAGCATCAACCAGAACTAATATACAGCCAGAAATCCGTACATCTTGCTGCCCAGACTGGTCTTGGCCACTTTGAGAAGGTTGGTGATATCATCGCTGCTAAACGTAATTTCGTCACTGATCCTGTCGAGCTCGGCAACGGCAATTTCGCAGGCCTGGTCGTATCCGTCAGCTATCCGAATGGGGTGGATGCCTTTGTCGATGAGGTCCGAGGCTTGTTCAAGCATGGCCGCTGCCAGCACCACGACACCGGTTGTGCCATCACCAATCTCCTCGTCCTGGGACTGCGAAAGTTCGACCAGCAGCTTTGCGACGTTGTTTGTGATCTCCATCTAACCATAACCATCGTATCAGTCTCTCGAGCCAGAATTGGATCTCTCCGGGGGGAAAGGACTTCGGGATCGAACCTGTCCGAGAATAGTTGCGCCATCATTGGTGACGGTGATATCGCCGTCGGCGGAGATCAGAATCTTATCAAGACCACGGGGTCCCTTGAAACGAGAGTTAGATGTGTTCTCATTCATCGCTTGCCGAGTGCCATACCAGAGAAGACTTCACAATGCTGGCCACCGTCTTGGCAGCAACAATGTGTGACTTAACGGCCTCAGTGCCATGCTGTCTCTTCTTCTTTCCCTGACTGTTTTATGAAGAATCTTCGTCAGCCCCATATTTCAATCCTCCAACTCTCAATGGTATTTTAAAACGGAGGATAAGGCGTAGCGGTGAACGTACTCCCGAACGACAATAAACGGCCGTCCCTGCTCGTCCTTCAAGACCTGAGCTATCCCTTAATGTCAGCGACCGGATCCGGGTTGTACTAAGTTATTCGAGAAGTAATCACCATTAGACATATCAAGCTCTGTTGAAGATCAAAATCCACATAGTTAGCGACAGCACATTTCAAGAATGAGGGGTATGGGGGTGCGGCCTTACGCATTGCCATGTTGACGGTGGGCTGCCACCTGGCAAAATATAAAGATTGTTAAAAAGAGGGCACAAGAAAACCAATAGAAAATCAAGAGTAAGTGACAAGACAAAGCAGTGAACTTGCAAGTTGAGCCTTGAGGGGGAGCTTCCCGAAATGCACTTTTGACAAATGAAATTCTGACTGCCCAAAGCGGTATAGCGTATCTTGTCCGCCTTCAACGCGTTTCTGCTTGTAGACTCCAATTGCTCTGGATGCGACAGTCTTTTGTCCGACTTTACTATTGCAATTGAGGTTCTCCTCTAGTCGCCAATCTGTTTTCTAAACTCTCCAAGTTCATCTCACCCTTCAAACGAAACATGCCTCGTGAGTGTTTTCCCCTCAATGTTGATTTGTCGCGCGCGCAATGATGAGCATCTCGGTTAACCCGTTCGTTTCCTAGCTCCCGTTGAAGATATGTCCGACGAGGAATCCGGCGATATTCCTTTCAGAAATGCGCCAGAGACAAATGACAAAGATGCCCAAGACTCCCCGGAAGATGAAGGAGACGAAGAGGAGGAGGAAGAGGAGGAGGAAGAGGAGGAAGAGGGACTGTGAGTTGCGCATTCCCGACTTGATGGATACAGGTTTCTAATTGAAGGCAGCTACGTCGTTGAGGATATTCTTCAGCACGACTGGCTTGATGATGTATGTTCACAAAGCTCAGCCTCATTGTGCCGAGTGCTAATCAACTACAGGGAACCCTTAAGCTCTTCGTGAAATGGAAGGGTTATGACAAAATTGAGGACCATACATGGGAAGACGAGGATGGTCTCATGTACGTCTACGCACTCGTTGAGTTTCGACACATGCTACACCCATTTATTGACAAAGACCATAGGGACGGAGCCCGCGACATTGTTACAGCATATTACAAGAAGGTCGGTGGTCGCCCGAAGAAGCCTGAAAGTAAGGCCGCAGCAGCAAAACCAGGTCGCAAGCGCAAATCTATGGGTGGTTCGAAGCTTCCCACGCCCGCACCGGCCCCCTCAGGGAGCGAAGCCAAGAGACAGCGCCGAAAGTCAGCGCCCAAAGAGACGACTAAGCAAGCTTGCCCTGAGTCCGAAGAAAATGGCATTCAATGGCTTCCAAAGGGGAAGAACTGGGATAAGGATGTGAAAGCTGTGGACACGATTGTCCGGGAGGGTGACGCAGGTCTCATGGCCTGGATCGAGTTCAACAACGGACATAAGGCGAAACTGTCTATCCAGGTCTGCTATGAAAAGTGCCCCCTGAGAGTATGTCCTCCACCGTGCTAGAAACAACGACAAATATACTAACTCCCAAACTAGATGCTCAAGTTTTACGAATCGCACCTGTGAGTCAAGCCTCCTCCTAATGAAGGCTTGAAATGCATTTCTAACATCTCTCATAGCGTCTTCAAAGATAATTAAACCCATCCGTTCACCAACAAGCTAATATATCACCAACTCGAAAATGGTCCATAGATGTGATGTTTCTAGGCCATTTCCTCAGCCTCGGAATTTTAATAGCGAGTGGCCATCGCTACAATGCCCTTGACTACTGCAATCAACGCTTTCTGAATACGGCACTGCTGCCCTTCTATTGATGTTTAGTTCTGAGTTCCAATTTCCCCTTTGCGTTCTGGGCAGGTCAATACCGGTGTCTTCGGAGAGTATTTCGTTTCTAGCTACACGCTAATGTTCATCTACTTCACAATTGCAACTCATCCATTGTAGCTGTCTCTCAAATTCCACGTCCCACGGGTATCATTCAATGAGCCCTGTCTGTCGGGCCATGCTGAAATACTCCCACCTATCCTTGTACGCTTCTGCGCCGTGCTTCGTCAACGCTCGCTGTACACGCGAATGCTCCGCTGCCTGTAAACAGTCATCATCCTCGGCTGTCCAGACCCCGGGCATATCATCGGGGATTACCTTCCCAGCGGTGAGATATTTGAGAACCTTATCTGCCATCTCTGGGACCATGCTTGTGCATCGCAGAGCTTCGAACACGTGCGATTCTTTAGCGCCTCGAGCCAGGCGTTGATCAATCCAAGTATCGACGTCGGGCGCATCGGAGGTGTCATCGTCATCGTCAACCACCTCAGATGGTGGGCTTGATGGTAAGAATGGGAGTTCTAGGAAAATTGGGTCCACTGGGTCTTCGAAGATATTTTTGACTGGTGGTCTGGCGTTCGGTGCTTGTTTCTTGAATCGGTTGGACTGTGCGAAGGCATTGTCCCCCAATGGTCGCGGTGGAGCTGGCGGCGCTGGTGATTCTGCTGCATTTGGTGGTCGTTGTGGAGTCTCCCGAGTGACGCGACGAGAGGTTTGTGTGGAAGGGTTAGTGACTGGGAAGAGACCTGGAATGCCAAGGCCTTGAAGCGGTCCTGTCTCTGACGATGAGACACCGGGAGAGCGTCTTTCTGGGCGAGCAGTAAAAGGTGGTGTGGCTGCCATGTTTGATGACTCTATTTGGGGTCCCCGGCTACCAGAACGGGGACGGCGTGAGGAAGGGCCTGCAATTGTAGACGATTCAATTGCTCTTCTTTTCATAGGTGAAACGTCCCTCCGCCGTTGATTTGGCGGCTCAGGGACCGGATCTCGTTTTCGTTTTGGGCTGTTTGCTGTACTTGCTTGTACCCGAGCAGGTGGTGGCAACTGAGGGACCCTTGAACTAGGTTTTGCTGTGGATGGTTTTTCTGTGGAACCTTTTGGAGATGATCGGGCAGGCAAGGTCTTTGGGCGTTCTCCTTGGGGTTGTGCAGACTGTACAAGCTCCGAATATGGTACTGGGCTGCCGCCCCCTGGACGGCCCTTGCCACGCAGGTGCTTCATGTATCTGCTACGCCAGGACTGCCATGGATGAGCGGGGAACTGTGTGCTACCAGTTAGTATCACATATTTATGTGTGTCCTGTAGTGTTCACAGAAACAAGAGGGCATCATACCAGTTCACTCAAATCCTGGTAAATTCTATTGCCTTGGACAGGTGCCCCTGGCTCTTGCTCAAAGTGTGCAACCCAGTCAAACACAATCTGATCCTCTTTCAGGGTAAAGAATGATCTTGTGCTTTTCGTGGGGATGTTGAATGCACCCATTGGACGAGGTGCAGATGGCCCAACCCGGTGGGCTTCTAGATCTTCGAGTCGTCCCTTGTTGATAGAACGCTCTACATATTGATAGGAGAAGCTAGTTCTAAATTAGTACACTGCTTTTGAGCCAGCAAAGAGTTCCGTACGTGTCACCAGGCAGGTCTTTCCTCGTGTGATCCACCAGCTTGACATCGGCATCCTTCTCCATCAGCACAACGGTGCCACCATATTGCTGGATATTCATTAACTTCTGTATCTTCCAAGCAAGATAAAGCGCTCCCCAAAATACCTTGATTAATTCTTTAAATCTCGACCTTTGTGGAACAGTTCGAGATAGCCAGAATCGTGCGCCTTTGAATAGACTCGTTGTCGTAGTCTCAGCCCGAGACGAGTCATTTATGTTAGTCGCCATTTCAGCTTTTCAGAAACAAAGCTTCACAACTTTCCTTCGAGCTTCCACACCCTCAAAGATAGGCCGGCTTTGTCTGCGACGCGGTATCACGTGTTGACGTGTCGCAAGGGGCTTTTTCCCATTCAATAGCGAGCTATGGTGCAAGATAGGTGTCGTTTCGCTCGCTTGACTGTCAGTTCTTGGGCCTGATCATATAATATTCCTGCAGTCTCAATCGACAAGGGTCACAGATGAATTGGTTGGTTCACGCCGAGACTGAACACGTGGTCACGTGGCATACACAAAACCGACGACGTGCGATGAGAACGCGTTGACCGATCACAAGTCAACGAAGGTATGAGTCGTGAAGAATATCGCTAGAGGATGCAGAGCAAACATTTTATCCTTTGAACTTCTCGAGAGAACTTAAGCTCCAGAATGGGGGCCCTCAGAACCGTTGGTCTGGTGATTCTGGCGATCTCGGGGTTCACCTTTATCGCGCTATTTGGCAGGTTGCCAGCTTTCCGGTAAGGAAGTTGCCAATTTACAAACCTTTGAGGCTTTGCGCTAACTGCTCAAGTAAAACTCCGGTCGCTTGGCTGCATCGGGCACTGTGGGTGTACTTTCCAAATGGAATTGCCGCTGTCGATAATCGCTTGTTCGGCGGGAGGGTAGTACGAGGCTGGAATCGATCTGGTAGCTATGTACTGAAGGAGAACCACCCGCTTGTCCTAGTAGGTCTTGGAACTTATTATTACTTGTCCAGATACTAACCATGCACACTAGATATTCTTTACCTCCTTACTGGTCATTGGAGAAGGCGTCTTTGTCCCAGCCGCGTGGCCTCGGCTTTCAAGCATTCATCGGCTTTGGGTAATCGTGGCTATCACCTTGCCATATTTCCTGCTTTACAAGTGTATTGTGACCAAGTCATTTATCACAGCAGAGAATCATGAGGAAGAGATGAGACGCTATCCGTACGACCGAGTTCTTTTTCATCCGGGGCATCGGTGTAGCACCTGCAAGTTCCTCAAGCCAGCGCGCAGCAAGCATTGCAACTTCTGCCAGGCCTGCGTTTCTCGGCATGACCATCACTGTGTATGGCTGATGAACTGCGTCGGGGCCAACAACTGCGTCTACTTCATCTCTCTCTTAATCTCCCTTTCTGTCATGTTGATCTACGGCTCCTACCTTGGCCATTCCCTACTCTCTGAGATGCTGAAGCAAGTGGTTCCTCCGGAGATACAGGAGACCATGCAAGGCTGGACAGCCTGGATCAACACATGGAGCGTTGTGATCGCTTCTGATCCCAAGATTGGGGCAGTATTTCTACTGATGCTTATGACTGCCCCGCTAGCAATATCTTTCTTGGCGTACCATATGTATCTCATCTGGGCTGGGGTGACAACCAATGAGAGCGCGAAGTGGTCTGATTGGAAAGATGATGTGCAAGATGGCTTTGTATTCAAGGCAAGACGAAGCCTCATCTTTGGCAGCCCCCTTCCGATGGATCCATATGATGAACTGTGGCCTGTGCATACTGATCAAATCCTTATCACTGATGAAAATCCTCCGACTGAAGGATGTTTATTGGCCTCCAATTCCAATTGCATTGCTCGTCGCCCTGAATCAGACGTACCCCCGGACCCTCGATGGAAGCAACTTCACACTATGAGAGACGTCGACAACATCTACGATATGGGCTTTTGGTATAATCTTCGGGACGTGGTAGGACTATCTGTCCGTCGATCTAAGGAGGTATTCGGTATTTAAGCTCTTTGTATATAGCCTCTATCTTGATGGAATTTTGATTCAGGAATATCTAGAATATCTGCTGAAAAATGGTGGCTATTACATACCTTCGAATTTTTAACACTCAAACTGGTGATATTTGCTATATGGTCAATCTGTCTGAAAATAGCCCTGATTGCTTTCATCTACACCAATAATAATGTTCCATAGTAAGAGCATATCTAGAGGTTAATATAATAATTTACATTATTCCAGAGTCAACGATTGCAATTCTATTAAATAAATAAACAAAAAAGCACTCTATGATCCACAACTTCAACAGTAAAGAAACTAGTGATCTTGTTGGAATAGTATACCCAAATGTTGCTCGAGGCGGAGAGCTCAGAATGGGCGAATGAGCGATAACGATAACATTAGTGCGGGCGGAAAATTTGTCTCTCCACTCCGAATCTTTGATTCTCTCATCCCACCGTGATCTCCCCGCGCTGTTTACCGTTTGAAGGAATACGCGTTGAGATTCTCTTTGCAAGATGGCAGACCCAAAGCCACTATGCACGCCAGCGGAGCTTATGCTCAAGGTAATCCTTGCAGGCACCCTGAGCCACTACGAAGTTCGGGGCATGATCGATGACAAGCGCCTGGAGCATATGCTTGCCGCTGGGAAGCAGATCCTGTACAAGACACACCAGGAGAGTGATGTTCGGTAAGATAATCATATCATTGACCTTTTGCATACTTTGCATACTAATCTGTTGTGCGCTTCAGTCACAATCTCGGCATGTCACCAGATATCTGGCAAGGTCTCACGAACGTCCTCACCAAAGCCATCCCCGTCCTCGAGTCCCAATCTTTCGCTTGGAAAAGCCCCGCAGCAAGCTACGAACACTCATCTGCCAATCTGATTGCATACAATTATTTCTCGCTGGTCAAAGACATTGAGCGCCTGAATGATCTGTGTACAATCGCCCGCAACCTCCTCGCCACAACCAAGAAGGCACAGAACCTCGCGGCAGAAACAGGATTTGACCAAAGAATTCTAGCTCTCATCGACACCTGTGTTCGCGTCACCGCTCGAGGCTTCGATGGCGAGCAAAATGCGCGGAACGAGGAGCGATGGCAGAAAGTCGTCAACCTCTACAAGCGGCTTCTGATTACGTGCCTCCAGTACCTTCATAACTTTATTATGCACAATGAGCATCGCAAGATGGTGCTCTGGTTAGATCTGTTTGGTTACCATTCAACTGCTGATACGAACATCATAAAGCCCAAGGAACCTTTAGACGATGCTAGCTCGCGAGAAGGAGTGGCACCCATTGTGCAAGTTGGAGAGCGCGTTATCAACCCCCCGATTCGCGCACTGTACGACCAAACTGCGGAGGATTTGCTATTGGAGACCATCGCCAAGTTTCCGCGGGAGCCAGCAACTATCAAGGAAGAGGCTGCCATGCTGCTTCTGGCCAACATTAAGGATCACATGGAGAGGATTTTGGGGCGAGACCTCAGCGCTATCCAGGAAATGGGCAGAGACCCAGACCAGGTCAAGGATATCAGGGCTGCTTTGACTGCAATCCTTGGGGCCAAGGTTGACGGTTGGTCTGATCTTCAGGACCGGGCTCGTGAGCTCCCGGCTGTGCTTCCCGAAGAAGAGCACGATGAGCTTGAAGACCACGAAGATCAGGAGCATGACGATCACAGGAGCCACGACGAGGATGAAGAGGAACACGAAGTCACCAAGAAGAAGACCATCCTGACTATTGATCGCAGTCTCACGGCTGGTTTCCCTCGTCTTTGCTGGGCCGACCTTCCAGAGATTAACGATTTCGGCGCTGTGGATGGACCTGTTACAGACGAAGACACTAGTATGCCCCGGTCAGCTCAATCTGCCGCCGAGACCCTCCAAGAGGCCAAGGACGAACTCATGGCTCGGCTCCAGGAGCCGTCACATATCGATGGCGATGAAGAGCACGACTATGACCATGGCGATGCACACACGGTGGGGGATGATGATTCGCATAGCCTGGACCACATGGCTGACGGAAGCGTGGACGGAGATGGCGAGGATGATGTGGATGACGATGGCGTCGATGGAGAAGCCGATGATGAAGAGGAGGAAGACGACGAATACCGTGGCCGTCCTGGTGATCAACAGCGGGGTCTTCTGACAGATATCCCTCTGGTCCTTGGTCCCGCAGAAATTGAAGCTTTGCCTATGATTGTTCAGGCCGGTATTGTGGACAGCTTTGGCCTCAAGGGTGGCGAACGGAATGGATCCAGGAACATGCAAGCGCTCCGCTGTCACATCCTGCTCACGCAGGAGACAGGACGCAACCTACTGCGTGAACTACTGATTTTCATTGCGGCATGGGATCTCCCCGACGATGAGCTCTACTTCAAGATGATGGTCCAGATCATGGAGGCTGTGCTTAAGAACGGTCTAATGTCACATGCCTACTCGGACTTCGGCCAGCCCAAGGACATAATCTCTCCAGCACAGGCTGTTGTGATCAAGATACTCACCCACATCTTCCGAGCCAAGTACTCTCCTGCTTCGGTGACGGGCTCGGCTCAGCCCAACATCCCCCGCAACCCGAGCTCACTCAACAGAGTTGATATTCTCACTGTCCGATACATCTTCACCATCTTCCGTGGCAACATCATCCCCGAGACTTGTGCTTTGATCTACCTCCAAGGCCAGATCCGCGCCCAGCGGGCTCTTTCGGAGGACTTCCCGCTCAATCTATGGGACATGGAACGTGTATACGAAGGTGTCTACCAGTTCTTGGAGTTCTTCGCTGTGTTGACCGAAAACAACGACTGGAAGAACCTGCTGGTTAAATGGGAGATTGTCTACGACTTGGTGACGTTGATCAAAGAGTTGGAAGCAAGCATCCCCAAGGGCCAGCTGAGCCAATTGTCCTTTGGCTCCGTGCCCCCTCCCCCTCCTCCCCGAACCGACGCCGCAAATGATGCTTCCAGCGCCAGTCCCCCTGCCCCCGTTGCCGTCGAACGTCCTTACGATCCCAGCGACCCAGACCCTGTCGAAACCGGTGCTGGCAGCGTCGACTCTCGACCCGAGTCCCCTCCAATCACGGAGGATCCCTCCGAGTTCGAATGGCGCAATCTCAAGAAGCTGGTCGTGCTTGTGCTCTCCTCGCTTGTCTGGAAGTGTCCCGATGTCCAAGAGCAGATCCGTCGCTACGGCGGTGTCGAGGCAATTCTTTGCTGCACCGCTTTTGACGCCCACAACCCATACATCAAGGAGCATGCTGTGATGTGTCTTAAGTTCTTGCTGGAGGGTAACCGTGAGAACCAGCGTCTTGTTGAGGAACTCGAGGCTCGTGAGGTTGTTAACAATGACGGTGGCGTGCTGGAGCGAAGTGGTTACGAAGCGATGATCAACCAGGCAGGCAAGTTGGCCATCCGTTCCAAGGCTCGGGCTGAGGAAATTTTATGAAACATTGACCTTACGTGTGATGAAAATTCTGGAATACTGCATATAGAGTAGAAAGCTCTCCGAATGATACTTTCAAATTACAATTCTTTTCTATCTTTGATCTATGCACGCATACTGGGGATGGTCTTAGAACTATGGATTCCAAAAGAGGAAGGTGGGTCTACAAATGTGTTGCCTGAACATCCCATCTTTCTGCCTGCAGATCTCCTCGATCTGCTGGAGTCTACAGGGAGAAGGTTACCTTACTGTCTACAAGGTTATTGAAAATTAGTCGACTAAGGTGATATACATTTCAATGTTAGCTAACTTATGCCTACCATCGACCAGCAAGGTAGTCGCTTATTGTATTAATGTCTAGTAGTTTATCTCGGCAGCTGTCTCTATCTGACCTTCTTACCAGGACTACAGATATTGAGTTGGTTACTGCTCGAAATTCACCTACAATCCTTCTCTCCGGCACCTTTGCAAGCGTCTTATAGACGTCTCCAAAACTAAGATAAATAAAAGCGGTGCCTATGGCAGATATCGGTATAAACATATCCGCCATAGGCACATTCAAACTTGGCTTCACCAAAAGGTTATCAGCCACCGGTACTGCATCGACGTGCTAGCCCGGCTTATACGACCCTACCCACTCCAGTTTATCAAGGTGAGCCGCCTCGAAAGACATGGGAGTCTGGGGTAGAGAACTGGGGTGACGCACTCGGGCCGAAATCTCATGCGCTATCCCTACGCATAGGAGGCATCCAGATATCCGGTCTTTGTGTCTTGCGTCTGTTATCGGCAGGTAGTTATCCTGACATTTATAAAGCGATCAAGGCAGTGGGGGTTCATCATGGTATTCGGAGAGGTATTCAGCAAGCTGGATCCCGCGACCAATATCTGTTTCCATCTGCTCAATGCGCCATGTCAGTTCCTTTACGTCCTTTAGCAAATAAAGGCCCGACTCCAGATCGAGAGTGCGAGTACTACGCAGTTTCGGCCAAAACTGCATAGCTTGGTACTCGGTCCACTCCTTGACAAGAATCATGATTATCATAATCGTCAGTCCCAGTACAAGAAAAATAAAAATGAGAAGGAAGGTCTCCCAGGGCGGAAGAGACATTGTGGTGGTTGCATGGGGTGGGACTTGTGAGTATCTGGTTTTCTGAACAGGGGTTGAGGTATACATATAAACGTGGAGATACCTAGTAATTTGGGGAGTGAGCGAGTAGAGAGAGTCGCGCAGGGGGGAAATGAGAGAAGAAAATACCCTAATGATGTGTGATACCCCGGGGATGTTACGGTCTGTGACTCGGTTCAAGTATAGAGAAAGAGTGTATGAGTTGAAGAGTTTGGGAAGAGGATGTGATGTGGAGTGAGAAAATATATGAAGCAGGACTTGGGGACTTGATATTTATATGTGAGCTGCGGCAAGATCCTCGACAGAGATAGCTTCACAATGAAATTGTGTGCCCTTTGTTAAGAAGGCGACCAAAGATATAGACAAAGACATGAATGAAACTGAGATCCAAGAGAGAACAAAGGTCTTTGAAGCAGGTACGATAATTAAACTGTGAAAGCCAACGAGGGAACGACCTTTAGGTCTTGTGGATATCATCGAGGTACGCCTGCATCTTGACTCGAAATGTAGATGCCAATGCAGTTCTGGATTTAAACGCCTATATCATGCAAACACCATTAATGTCCTCCGTTATATGTTTCTCTGCGACTTTTCACATTAGTAACCGTTTGATAGCTTATGTCTTTATTCGAGCTCAAGGTATGGTGGCCAGGAAGCTTACTCTCAATATTCATTTGATTAGAATGTACATGATCAATCGATGCAAATGCAACAGTCATTCACTCATGCTAAGATAGGAGATACTGCCATTTAATCTCCATCACAATAGACAGTTTAAAATGCACGTATATGCATAGTCTCTCAATCTCTTCAACCATACATGCCATCCCATTCCTCCTCCTCATCTTCCTCAACAAGCTTCTTCTTCGCCTCCGCCTTTTCTCTCAGCTGCTTCGCAAAGTCCACACGGTCAAGCGGACACGTCCCACGTAGCCGCAACCAGGGCCGCACACACTCCAAATCGAAGCGGTGTGTCGGGTGACAGGGCAATTGGACAACGAGCGGGTATGGGTCTTCCACGAATGGGTTGTTGCAGATAGGACACATATCAGAGGGTTTTAGAGATGCTTTTGGGACGCGTTCGAGCACTAGAGAAGTCCAGACGTGGTTAGTTATGTAATTGACAAAGGAATACCCCGCTGATTGCGGGGGAAGTTGATGGACAAGGCGAGAGCTAGGGGAGTGTTTCTTACTATCGCAGAATTCCTCATTCACACCCTCCACCTCCCGCGGAGGTGTCTCTGCCTGCGCGAGCAGCGACTGGATCATCGTGGTCAGCAGGTCGCGACCGGTATCGGTGCCCTCCTGCGCGTCGGCTTGTGGCGCTGAGTCGGCCTCACGGCGCATCATATCCAGCGCCTCTGCGAGAGAGAAGAATGCTGCGCTCACATCTCCTGGGACGGGGACTGCATGGGGTCTGTGGTCGGGAGCTGGGGTGATCTGGGACAGGGTTGAAAAGAAGGTGGAGAGGTCGGGGCGGCGGCGGCGGGCGTTTGGGGCCGTTGAGGGGTCTGTGGTATTGTGTTCGACTGGAGTGATGTTAGCTTGGGAGATTCTGATTTATTTGAGTGCTGGGGATTCGTACTTTCGTAGGTCGACATGGTGGGGGATGGGGGACTCGCAAGCTTTCGGAGCTGTTTTTTTTTTGGAGGAATCTGGACGGGGGAAGCCCGTGTATTCTGTGACACCTCTGAAATTGTTTGCTTTTGTTGCACAAGATTGAGCTGTAAAAGGGAAATGCAGAGCGGGTGTAAGTGTAGGTTGTTTTTATAAAGAAGTTCCCCGAAGGCAGAGAGTCGATAACGCGGCGCGGCAGTTCTGATTGGTTCGTCACTATACAAGCTCTTGGAGGGCCCAAATTGATATGTTGAGAATTAAATGACGCACATTTATATAAATAAGAGGGAAATAGTAGGATAGGTCTAATAATTCGGAAAATCTGGGAGACTTTGGGAGCTTTGAGTGACTGACATTGCTATATATATTTATGGATCATGCTGTACTTTAGACCTACTCAACACACCCACCCCATTTCTGCGTACTGTTGTATGTGAAGAACAATCTCATTAAAAAATGAATCCATTTAACCTAAATAGCCATAGAGACATGTCATATAAGACTGTTGAAGCTTCTAGTATACATTGGCGTATAGGTCCCTGTCATCTGCAAGCCCTGGGCATCTATACATGATGAGATGAATAATCATGATATCATAATAATCCCCACGCTTACCCAGGTACCAACACTCTCTTTCAACATGGGAGATCTCATAGCTTCTCAGTATCTGCATTTTCCCTCGATGGCCTCACTCCTAACAAACACTGTGTCCTGGCACGAGGGCGAGGAGAAATTACACCACTGGCTTCGAGTCCCTCACGGCGATAATCCGACTGCCCCGTACCTGAGCCCGAGAGCTGCATCATTTGTTCAACAATCCCCGCTGCTTGCCCTGGGTACATTGGATTCCCAAGGCCGGCCATGGTCAACGATATGGGGCGGCACAGCGGGCTTTGCAAAGCCAGTTGCTGAATCGCTAATCGACCTTCGGACACAAGTGGACAGCAAATACGACCCCGTTGTGCAGGCGCTATTGACCGATAACCAAACTGATGCATACACAGGAAAAATGGTCTCGGGGCTGGCAGTTGACCTGGAGAACCGTCGGAGAGTGAAGCTGTATGGCAGGATGGTGGCGGGCTCACTTTCTGATGAAGACGCAGGAGAGGGACAGTTGGTTGTCCACATTGAAGAGAGTCTAGGGAACTGCCCTAAATACATGAATAAGAAGCATATCGTACCTGCGCAGTCTGATCCTAAGCTGATCTCCGACTCGCCACAATTGAGTCCTGCTGCAGTTGAGCTGCTCTCTCGTGCGGATACTATTTTTGTGTCTTCGTCTCATGGAGCATCAACCATGGATACAAACACCCGTGGGGGTCCACAAGGATTCATGCGTGTTGAATCCAACGGTGCTAGCGGTGCTGTTCTTGTTTATCCTGAGTACTCGGGAAATAGACTCTATCAAACGCTGGGGAATCTAGAAACCACCCCGCTGGCTGGTTTTGTCGTTCCCGATTTTGACAGCGGCAACGTCCTCTATTTCACTGGGTCGACCGAGATACTAGCTGGGAAAGATGCAGCTGCTATCCTACCAAGATCGAATCTCGCCGTACGAGTCACCATCGCAGCAGCAATCTTTGTTGAAAACGGGTTGGCATTCCGTGGCGAGGCCGGGGAGCCTTCTCCGTACAATCCTAGCGTGCGATATCTCATCAATGAGAAACAACTCCCTGGCACCCAAGACAGAGGTTCAGACCAAGTGGCAACGTTAATAAAAAAAGAAGACATTACACCATCCATCCAACGGTTTCGGTTTCGCATCTCCGGCCGCAAACCAATTTCATGGAGTGCGGGACAGTATGTCACAATGTCATTTGCAGATGAGCTGAATATGGGCTATAGTCACATGCGCGATGACGATCCAACCAGTCTAAACGATGACTATGTTCGGACCTTTACCGTGTCTTCGTGCCCCGGTCGCGATATACCCGCTGATCAATTCGAGATCATGGTCCGACGACATGGTCCTGTTACTGGATATCTCTCTCGAGTAAATGAACGAGCCGGACTAGAAGTACCACTCAAAGGATTCGGAGGAAGCTTTCATGTATCTGGAAAGTCCATTATCCCCTACGTGGCGGGCGGTATTGGCATCACACCCCTTCTCGCCCAGCTTCCAGAATTGGATATTTCCCAGCTGCGGTTATTCTGGTCAATCTCATTCAATGATTTGGGGCTGGTGCATGATATTTTCCAGCGGTGGCCACAGTTGCCCCTGTCAACGACTTTGTTTATCACCAATGTGGAGCTTGATGGAGCCGATCGGCGGATGTGGGACGGCATCGAGTCGTCTGGGGTGCAATTGATACGACGAAGGATGCAAGCTCAGGACCTAGACCTTGCGCTAGCAGATGTTTGGTATCTCTGTGCGGGTGTCGCGTTAAAGCGGATGGTTCTAAATTGGCTGGTTGGAAAAACAGTGGTCTATGAGGATTTCAATTATTGACCAAAGAAGGATATTATTGAAATGATATTCCAATGTTCTCTTACGTTTGCATCTCCATAATTTAATATTTAACTTGAAACAATTCCAAAAATGTCTCCAAAGCTGCACTGCCCGATAAAAATAGATGACGCAGCCCCAAACGTGTCAAGTGGAGCGCTGATCATGAAGACCGTAGGGACATCTCAGACTGAATTATTTCTTCCATCTTCACTTCTTCACATCTCGCCATGAAATCTCCCTCCGTTAAGCCCTCGGCATACCCGCCGCTGCCATTTCATCTCATCCGCTTTCTGATCTTCCTCTCCTCAATCGTCGTAGGCGTGATCTTGGCAGTGTTTACCTACCATCTCCACGCCGATGGCTTCAAACTACCATATTCATTCCTCGTGGTAAATAAACATCCAAATAAACCATCTCTCCTATCAAATACTAACAAAAAATCAACCAGCTCTTCGTCTCATCAGGCCTCTCCCTCCTCAACATCCTCCTAACCTCAGTAATCCACTGCAGCTGCGGCCTATCAACAAAGCTCTCCATATCACTCAACATCCTCCTAACAATCCTCTGGGCCCTTTCTCTGGGCCTCCTGAGCTGGAGCATAGCAAGTACAATAACAACAACTTGCACAGCAGCCTACTGGGGAAATTCGACCGGTATCGCAGTGTGCAGAAGCTACAAAGCCCTCTTCACATTCACCATCATCGGTCTGGTCTCCTACATCGCCGCGGTATGGCTGGACGTGGTCGTGCGCCGTCGCCAGACTCGTCTCGGCGTTTACGATGCTATGGGATCACAGCCAGGCCTCGATGACTCGGGCGCATTCGATGTCAAGATGGATGACCGCCACAGCGAGTCCACACCTGCCTTGCACGATTATGATAATGTGCCCCCTGCTATGTCCGGTGGCTATGGCCAGGGACATCAGGGACATGCGCCAGCGCCAGCGCCTCCGCTTTATGAGCACAACTTAGAATATGCTCATGCCGGTGACGCGCAGGATTATTATGATTCTGCGCCTGGCATGAGTCACCGTGGTGCACCCAGAGTACGTTTTAGTGCCTACGAACAGGATGGGCACCAGAGGCCTGCTGAGAATACTGGGTATGACCCTGCTATGTATCGCTGAGTGGGCTTTTGGTATTTGGGGTTTCTTTCTTCTTCTTCTTCTTCTTCTTCTTCTTTCTCTTTGCTTTCATGGCAGCAAGCGTGATTTTACGATATTTATCTGGGGTGCATCTCAAGGTTCATATTCGGGTGTTTTGGGTTGACACGGAATCTGCATGACGGCGTTTCGAGGATCATTTACTGGGATATGTGATATTTATACGAAAATAAAACCCACAGGTATAACAAATACCAATGCAAGAAATCCAACGACTCTTTCATTTTGGGTTCGTTCTAGATTAAAACAAAAAGATCCTTAGATCGGCTGCGCTCAAGAAGCAAATAACCATCCAACCATAAGATGAGATGAGATGGGACAAACCCGACAATGAAGTCGTATCAACGAGAAGATCAGGATGATTTTCGACCATAGATGACCAAGAATGAGTTTACATAATGACCTCGTTGCACACATCCTATAGGGAACGTTAGTCAATGGCACATTAAAGAAACTAGAAATAATACATACCCGCTTGAGTTCCTTGTAAGGCAAGCACACGCAGTTCTGGACGCGGACCTCATCGCCAACAGCACACTCCTTGCCAAGAATGGTGATGCTCTGCACCTTGATACCCTGCTTGACAATGCTGGTAGAGTGGCTACCCACGGGGATGGGTGTGCCCTCCACGCGAGCCCAGGCACCGACACGGCTGCTCCAGCCAATGATCGAGTGCATGACGCAGGCGTCGTGGCGGATCTCGGTGTCCTCAAGGACGATCGAGTCCTTGATACGGGCACCGGCGCCAACCACAACACGCGGGCCGATCGAGACGTTAGGACCGAGCTTGGCGGTGGGGTCGACGGAGGCAGTGGGGTGGATGTAGACCGGAGGCACGATGGTGGCAGAGGGGGAGTGAGTTCAGGGGACTCGGCCTGGAATGCCTTTTGGAGGTACAGGGCGTTAGCAGGCACGGCAGAACCGGCGGACTTGATCTGGCGCCAGAAGTCCTTGGTTTCGTGGACGAAGAAGCGGTTGCTGTCGGCCAGATCGGAGAGGATGTCTTGCTCCAGACGGAGGACCTCGTTCTTCTCGGCGTCCTCGTCGTCGCCGGTGGCGATGAAGGAGGATTCCAGGTTGTCGGAGGAGGGGTACGAGAGAAGGCGGGGGCGGGTAGTGCGGCGCTTGATGGCGCTGCGGATGGCGGGGAAGATGCACTCGGTAGCGAAGAGGTAGACGCCACAGTTGATCAGGTTGGAGATGTGCGACTCGGGCTTCTCGACGTAGTGCAGCACACGCTTTGTGTGCGAGTCGGACACGATGCATCCGAAGTTCGTTGCGGTGTCGTTCGACACCCGTGTACCCAGAATCACAGCCTCGGCGTCCTTCTCCTCGAATAACCGCATCATCTCGCCCAGCGGGAATGAGCAGCAGACATCAGCGTTCAGCACGAGCAGCCGCTCGGGCTTACCCTTGAGGATCGCATCACGGAAGTGGTATAGGCCACCTGCGGTGCCCAACGCCGTGTACTCGCGCAGGTAGAGGATGCGGAGCTGAGGGAATTCCTTCGAGGCATCCTTGATGAAATCCCGGAATACGCTCTCATCGTAATATCCGACCAAAATCACTTCGCGTACATCGGGGACCTTAGCCACCGCCTTCAGGCAGTGGTGGATGATGGGGTGGCCGGCGACTTCGAATAGGGGCTATGGGAGTTGCGGTGTCAATTTTTGTCCAGTGCAGATCCTTATGAACAATTAAATGAGATGCAGATGCATACCTTGGGCACATCGAGTGACAATGGGCGGAACCGAGTGCCTCTTGAAGGGCCTCCGACCTGTGGACAAGGTGTCAGCTATTGTTTACCGCGAAGATTCCGCAACTTACCAAGATCACGGCCTTGGTGGAAGCCTGAGTATTGTGATTATCACGCATTGGTATATTAAGCATGACGGTATGCAAGGAGATGTGAAGAGAATATAAATATAGGAAAGGCCAGAGAAACCCCGAAGCTCCTAAACGCCAAGACGACGGTTTCGGTGGGGCACCTGACAACATTTTACTCCTTTCGGCCACTTTTCAATGCTTTGATTTATCTGATTTATCTTTCTGAACGGCTTCATATTGATATACGCTATAGATATCTACCCCTTGCTGAGGGCTATTTTGGACAATCTTGACAGGTGTGGCGTGCTGGGGTTGAATACCTTCCTCTCAATGACGTGCCCGTCACTGAGAGTCTGTATACAACCTGCCCGACTTCACTGCTCATCAAATTCCGCGCAATAGCTAGATCTCCCAAAGTTTTACTTCTCTGCCTCCGAGTTTTGCATTTATGATACATAAGACTTGTAAGTATAGAAACATCCAAATTCCACCTAATGCTCCGAAGTCCCATCTTCGTCGCTAACAGCAGCATCCTCAAACCTCTGACAAAGTGATTTTTCATACTCCTCCTTATCTCGGAGCTTGGTCGCTAGCACCTTTTCAACATCGGGGGCCCAAAAGTCCGATACAACCCGTGCAAAATCGTCTTTTGGCTGACTGGAAGGTGCAAAAAGGGGGTAAATATGTTGAGTGAAGAGGTTGAATAGACCCTTCGGGCTGTCCAAGGCATGGAAATACCCAAAGTTTCCGACTTGCCAACCGTTGCTCATCAGATTGGTCCTATATGAATGGTCATTGTTGATAGGGGAAACCCGTTTTTCTTCCTCAAAAACACCAACAAACTCTTCGTAGGCCTCACTAAAGGTTTCAAGCTGCTCGTCTATTAGTTCGTCGACTGAACAACCAGTCAACCAGTATGGAGGACGCAACGTCTCCGCCGGAGGTGAGCATGCCTATTCGAGATCAATCACAAACTTGACATTCCAATCGCTGTCAACGAATATGTTGCTGGGATGGAGATCGGTGAGTCTGTATAGGAAGGGCCCTTCTCGAAGCTCTTTGTTAGAAAAATGAGGTAGGAGCGCTTTCATTATCGTCAATCTTGCTATCTGGGCTCGGCCATCATCCGCATCGCTTATAGAGTTTGGCTGATACCGTATGTGACTATCATGGCAAGACAAAATATCGAGGTAGTATAAGTCCGCTGCTGAGTAGGTCAAGATTCGACTGATGTTCGTCGGAATTCCACCGTTTTCTAATTGATGAAGTCGAAGAGTGAGAGGTCGATTGGAAAGTCGCAAAGTTCCATTCGAGTCGAGGGCCCAAGATCCTATGCGAGGGAGTGATATCTGACTTAAAGAAAGCATCATGCGCGAAAGCCCCCGAAAGAGGTTTGTTCTTTTGGCTTGGTCTTGACGGTCTTCATCCCATGTCTCTGAAAGCATTTGAACTTCGGAGTTGCCAATGTAGTCCATCACCAAGTACCCGGTATCGAGTAAGGCCAGACGTTGATGGGCTATATAGGGACAGGGTAAAGGGAGCCCTAACAGCCATATGATAGATCTTTTGAGAGTCCAGAGAAGTCTAGTTCCCTACAGTTGAGGAATGGATATTTCCGGACAATGCGTATGTATCCAAATGAACGTTGCAGCTTCACAGCGAAGTTTTTCATCCATATTGCCGGGGGTTTTGAATTCCCCTATTTTGTACGGCAAGGGAAACCTAATAAGAGCTTTCTTTTCTCGTTTGTGACCTTGTTTGCTGATATAAAAAGGAATGCAGACATTGAAGCTACCGTGGACCCATTCGTTTACATCGCCAGTCCGGCAAGTATTTGAAAGACCTAGACCAAGATGATATGATGCAATACGCTCGATCTCATCCCGATTGCTATACAGCAACACAAAGAAGTCAGTATGACGCCCCTCATTTAGCACTAATTATCCCTCATGTTTCTGTGCATGCAAAATATACGTGTCTGTTTATAAAATGTCGTTGGCCCAAGTGCAATCTTCTCCCTCCTGTGGACCTCTAACCCCCATCATCAGGAAGCCATCTCAATCCGTGGCGGATCATTTCCTCGATAGACTTTGTCCTCTGGATTTGAAGGTATGTGGTATTTCTATTCGTTTGCATGAATAGATATTAATGGCTATACAGATAGTGCTACCATACTTGACAAGTCAAACCAAGCTGGCAACTGCAAGGTCTTGACCCCACTCCTATTTTATTATTCCATAAGCTAATTGATAAGAAGTTCTATAGTGTATTTGCAATGCAACGCGAAGAAATCCCGAGGCAAGAAGCAGGGGAAGCGGTGGAAACTACAGAGGCAGTGAAAGCAGCAGAAAGGGCAGCCGAGGAGAAGCAAAAACGCGAAGACAGGGCAGCTGTCACCAGAGGTCTTACTGACCTTCCAACGATGAAACAACTATCAACTTCGGGCTGGGAGGCAAAAACTAAGAGGAAGAAATAGCGTATTATCTACAGATGTGAGCTTGAGCTGCCATGATAGCGATGGATATGAGGGTTTTTAAGGACCATCACGACAACCGGCCTAATTGGGCTCACACCTCTTGTTTTATATAATACTTCCTCTGCTTTCCCATTCCACTTATAGTAAAAATACAAACCCCTATATATCAATCTGATCTATATATACATAAGTAGGATAATGGAAGTAGATAATGCAATCTATAGTGCGCATCTAAACATAAGCCGAATAAATAGATGTCCCTTTAAAGGAGTAGCCAATAAGTATTAAAAACACCCATAGGCCTAATCTAGTAAGTATATTGCTATAAGGTAACTAATAATAAAATAGCCAGTCTTATACAGCCTGGTTTTTTATAAGTCTTTCTAGAAGTCTTCTCGGATATTTCCTTACCTATTCTGTTTTATAGATATTTCTTCCCTTGGTTAGTGCTATAGTTTATTAAAGGATAAGAATAATTAGCCGTAAAATATAGAACAGAAATAATTAAATCTAGGCCTAGATATACGATTTTCTGCCAGTTAAAATACCGGTTGTCGTGATGGTCCTTAAAAAGCCCTCGTAGATGGATGTCCCTTGGTTGATGTCTAGTTTCAATGTCCACGAAATACCACATACAGAAAAAGAATGATTACCATGTCCAAATAATGGTATTTTATTTGATGCCATAATGCCGGTGCAACTTTATTCTTGTGGTAGACACGTTTTACTTGTCATTGGTTTCAGATCCATGATATCCTTTATCAAAATAAGAAATTTCCCATCTCTATGGCCGCCTAGGCATACAACATCATCACCAAGCCTTTGACAAAGTGACCTCTCATACGCCTGCCTATCTCGGAGCTTGGCCGCTAGCATTTTTCAACATCGGGCTCAGAAACTCGATACAACCCGCGTAAAATGTTCTTTTGACTGAATGGAAGGTGCTGTGCAAAAATGTGGTTAATCTGTGGAGAGAAGAGGTTGAGGAGACTTTTCAGGCTATCCGAAGCGTGGAAATACCAGAAGTCTCCGACTTGCCCATCACTTGGATTAAGTTCGAGTTTCACTTGTCACTTAGGTTCAGTGAGGTGGAAACGATTGAAAGAACTCATTGTAGTGAAACAAGCTGGGTACCCCTGGCACCAGAAGATGAGAGTGAAATCAAAATGGGAAGAAGTACCACGGAAAAGGGAAGAGGGACAGGAGCAAGAGCGAAAAAAAGTCCAGAGATTGACAAGAGACAAGATCGTAAATAGCCAACACGTTTAGTTGACATCCATCAAAACCTTGTCTTCTGCCACCTCGGCAGCAATAATCCCATCAACTCTGTAGTCCTTGTAGACGCGCAGCATGTAAGAAACAAGAAGTTTGGTTTGGGAGAACTTCTCATATTGCTTCACGTTTGCGCCTTTATTCTCTTGCCTCATCTGTTCCTTGTCCATTCGTGTGTTATCAAACTTATCCTCAAAGACCAACCCCGCCTTTAGGATGGTCTTGTATTTCCTCTTAGGTTTTCCCTTGACTATCCCCTTCGGTTTTCCCTTAGCTTTCGCATTGACTCTGCTTCTAGCCCTCAGCGAGCTCGTGTTCCGCTTCGAGTAGCAATTTGAGCAGATGATACCATCGCATTGGATACTGCTGTCTTCGATGCTTTGCAGTGCTTTCTCGCTGATCGTTGCCCACCTTTTTGAGTAAAGAGTGTTGCAATCTTCGCACCGAATGTCGATCCCTTCAAGGTCGCTGGATGTAAACCTAAAAGATCCGTGGTTGTTGCAATAATAAGCACACCCCCTACAGAGCCACTCATTAAGAGTGGGATGCCATTGGCGTTCATTCCCATTATCCTCGTTTATAGGGTGCCAACTCCATTCGGAGCTCTCAGTGGATTGGCAGTTCGAGCATGGTCCAGCGGTAGGCGCCGCACGAGTACCGTCAAATTTGTCCGGTGGCCGATCAGTTCCATTTCGGTATCGGTACCAGTAGCAAGCCCCGCAATTGTAGAACACAGCAACTTCGACAGCAGCCGGGGCGAAGTACCATCCGCTGGCCGAGGTGACTTCGCTTCTGCAGTTTAGGCATACACGGGCCCCAATAGCCCACCCAGCATCCTGCTTCAATGGCAGTGCATGGTTTAATGGATGAAAAACGCTTCGGGGGATCTCACAGTGCGAAAGCGCCCCGTGGTACATCTCCTCGGTATAGCCGTAACGTTGCACGGAATGAGAGTCTTCGCTAGGTGCATACGTATCCAGTAGCATCATCACAATTTGCTCGAGAAAACGGACAAGCCACCTGGTGTCGGCATCTGAAACATCGATCCCCTGTATGTCACTCGGAAAAATGGCAATCTGCCTGTAAGACGGCACAAGGCCATGACTTTTGGCGTACCAGTAGAGGTACATGACCTTTCTGCCATTGGTCATCACTCTATCTGCACCTATATCTTTCTTCTCAATCTGGTTGAACTGATAAGTGTGTTGGACACGACGTTTATGTAAACTTTTAATACTGGATCCTGTGTACAACCCAGTCGGCACCTTAAGCGGCTGCTCGGGGGCGACGGAAATCAAATATTCACCAGGCACCTGGACCTGCTGACCATCGGGTCGTGTAAAGAAGATAAGATATACCCCAGGACGAGACACCGAGGGGTCAATGCTTGGTAGAGCCATTACATGCTCGTACGTGAGGGTTGAGGACCCAAGAATTGCTCTCGTAGGTAGCGGAATTGCCGCTTCGAATATTTCCATGATCTTGCTTGGGGGTGTGTTCTGAATTGGGTGCTTGAGCGCATGATTGCACCATGATCTTTCTTCGCCTGTCTCATTCCAGTCGGTCTCACAGATATTCTCATGCAGAAGGTGTACTAAATCTCCAACTCTTCTACGGAACCTATCGAGACGGACCTCTTCGGGCTCGTCGTTGGGGTTGAATGAGGGATTTGCTAAGCAAAAATTAGGGTCATCTTGCTCATAATAGCTGTTGTTGTCGCCTTGATCGTGTAAATTCCCTTCGTGCTTTTCATTGTCTTCATTGTCTTCATCGTCACCTTCTATGACTTTCCATTCCCCCTCAATAAGTTCACCAAAGATTTTGATAGAATCGGGAGTATCGTTGAGTGAAATTGCGTCAATTTTTGGGATCAACTTTGCCATGGCATCATCGGGGTCGGACTCCGAGTGGATCTCACAGTCAAAGTGTTCAGCGTCAGTGTCGGTCATCTCATGATCTTCGCCCTTTGAAGGGTTCTCGGGCGGGCTGGATGCCATTACGATATGATGCTACGAATACTGGCAGTAGAATCAAGAGGAAGAAGAACCATGACTATTTAATCGACGATAAAGCAGCATATTTATACCCTGAGATCTAGCAAACAATCGCTCGGCCTGCAAGCAAACAGATAGGAATACATGGGATTTCAGATGATTCAACATATTGATGATTCAACCTATCTAAGTTGAATCTCTATCAGTTTCGGCGCTTATCATCGTCCAACCCTTGCCTTTTAGATGTGAGCTCCCCCGATTGTTAGGGCTCATATCTGTTAGCGCATAGTTCCCATTACTATGACGAGGCGCGTCGCCGGCTGTGACCGTGACCTTGTTCTCTCCACCGATCAGCCCTGCCTCACCAGCATCAACTTGTGAAAGAGCTCCAGTTCCAGACTGTGTCAGATTTGATTTTGAGATCGAGCGAGCGGTCGAGATCACGCCTTTGGTGAAATATTTGACAATTGGGGCGAGAGTAGGTAGACAGGCGGAAATGACACCAGCAGCGCTCTCAACGACACACCAGGTTTGCGCATCGGCGAGGGTCCAAGCCACATCGGTGATATCGAAGATAAAAATGAGGCTGAAGCGATAGATACTCGCAATTACGACGCTATATCTCGTCAGCACACGCCCAAATATCCGCTTTCCATCGAATTCTGCTGGGAACCTCTTTTGAAGGCATATATGGCACGTACAAACCTCCCGTCAGAAACACGCATATAATTGATACACGCTGCCACAGACTTGCCTGCAACCCCCAGATGAGTTTTGCCGGTAAAGCCAAAATACATATGTCTATCACAAAGTTTGGTACTCCGTTCCCGATCAGTGCCCCCTTGAGAACGATGCAGTGACCAGGAAGCATGGGGTTGAACGCCTTGGCAATTGGCCAGCACTGAAACAAGGCGAGGAAATCCATGGCAATAACCCAAGCGAGAGTAATTCCGCCAAGGACAAGTCCACCGATTTTGACGAAACGGACAGGGAAGATGCGATAGTACATGAGCAGCACAGCAAATTTTATGATGCCGGCTGTTGTAATATAGAGTGGCTCAAAAGCGTAGATCAACTGTTTGGATGTGTGTAATTAGATAATGCCATTGATTGCGCTCTGAAGTTGACCAGACGTGGATTTATTCCTCGTACCTTGAAAACCATAGATTGATCCTCGGCAGGGATGGTATAAGTGTGTGTGCCCATGCCATATTCAATACCTTTCGATATGGTTAGCTCAGATTACGCTTGTATCACACTGATAGATGCTCAATGAAGACCTACAGGCGAGGTTGATTCCCGCAATAATCAACGAAAAGATCTAGCATGGGGTTAGATCGGACTATCACAGACACTGGATCCGAAGAGATCAAGAGCTACGCACCAATCCCACAATCAGAGTCCAGTCATCCACTCCTAGGTGAACGCGCTTCATGCCCCGGGCGACTAGTCTCAGCGCCAAAAAGAAAATGGCCAAGACGGCGAAAACAATACTTGTGATGCGCTGCCTGGGCTGAGTACTCTCATGCGCATCGCTAGAATCCATTGTTATCGCATGACCTTGCAAGAAACAGTTAACAATTGAGTAATTATACTGAAGAAGCAGGGGTAGCAGACCTGAAATAAGAATCGTAGTTCCTCTACGTAGGCTTTGCCATGTGAATCCTTTAGCCCTAGCCTCCCAGTTGTCAAAGTGGGACTTATCCAAGATGCCAAGACCATTTTTCATTGCCAATTACCTAGATAGGTTTAGCATGGTACTATATAAGTCGATTTAATGAATATTTCCATGGAACGACTTGGCTAGTCCCATGGGCAATGTCAATGCTTAATGCTCATTGATCGATTTTCGCCATCAAACAACGCTACCGCGAACCGAGGCCTCACATCAAGCCACTTAGTCTACTCGGTACAGGGAACATCGAGATGGGTTAGGCTGAAATAAGGATGAATTTTTGGCTTGTGTTCCAGGAGACAATGTGTGAACCTACGAGGAATACGCTAATATGCCGACCATTCCGCCCTTGGGCTTTCGTAAATAGTCTTTGTTTCTGGAATCTTTTTCAGAATAATATCTACCTCATAAATCTCAGCCTCTACCAATGACGAACCCAACATTCGTATTCTCCCTGGGTGCCTGGGTCCTCCCAGCCGTCTTTGATGCTACCCGCTCCCGTCTGGAAACCCTCGGATTTCCCTCCGAGTGCCCCGCGCATCCTTCAATTGGCGCTGAGCCGCCTTCTAAGACTCTAGCTGATGATAGTACCTCCCTACGCAATGTGTTGACGAGGCTTGCAGACGAGGGGCGCGACTTGGTTGTGGTTGCACACTCCTATGGCGGCGTGGTTGCTTCCTCGTCTGTCGAAGGACTGAATAAAGCTGCTCGTGCGGCTGAGGGCAAGACTGGCGGTGTTGTGAAGGTTGTATACCTGGCTGCATTTGCCCTAGACAAGGGTCAAAGCTTGTTGGGTATGCTGGGAGGAAACTATCTACCCTGGATGAAGGTCGAGGTAAGCCTATCTTGGAAATGATACATAATTGAAACACGAAATGTGCGCCACAAGAGGACAAAGCTGACTAGTGGATAGGGTGATCACGTCCTGGCAGATGGTGCCGGAGAGGTTGGCTGGCAGGATATTTCTGTCGAGGAGCAGGAGAAGTGGAACGCGCTGGCATCACACACCTCGCGTGCTGTATTCTCCGGCGAGTCCACTTATGAGCCTTGGGTCGACATCGCCTGCGCGTATATTATCTGTGAGCAGGATCGTGCCCTGCCACCCCCATTCCAGGAACTATTTGCTTCTAAGATGGGTGGGCCGGAAAACACTTACCGGCTGCCTAGCTCGCACTCGCCCTTCCTGAGTATGCCGGATCGTCTGGCCGAGGTTCTGCAGCAGATCGTTAAGGCATGAGCCATTTTTCAATTATGATTTAGCTCAATTGCTTCTCAAATTACCACATGCATTATTTAATAAGGCACGGAGTCCCGATTGAGTGAATATCACACCCAACAAACTTATTTTAATTGTTCGTTTTAAGCCCCCACATTGATGTGAGACAATTGCCCCCCCAAATCGCCCCCAAAAGTACTCCGGAACTCTTAGAAAATTCTGATTACATTGCCCCTGAAAAGAATTAGAAAGTTCTTTTGCGGCCCTCGGTTGACTGGATACTCCGCGGAGTATCACTTCGGCAGTTGAAACCAGACCAAAGTACGAATCCATACTTAGGCTGAACCTTGGATAATGTATTACTCCAAGGTGGAGAAAAGAGTGACAGCGAACCAATCATATCTATGGTCGCTCCCAATTTAGGTAGTCTCGTCCCGGTGATCTGGCCCTTGGGAGATTTTTCCGACTGTACGTGCCATGCTTTGCAGGGGTCCTATAGAACAAGGATCATTTTCTAATAAGAAATGAAAAACTGACCCGAAAAAAAGAATGATAATTGTTCCCCGTATCCAAGAATTCTTTACATTTTAACGGGATCTGTAAATCGAACCATCCATCGGTCGATATACTACGGAGTACTCCGTATATAGATCGTTATCAATTGATAGTAATGTATAATATATTTTTGCTGGGCTATGCTATACATTTGTATTTACATTTTCTCTTTAAGCTTACAGAGTACGAACTATCCATGGAATAATTTATTTTCACTTTATTCTCACTTTGTTCTCATCTTTCTCTCAGTTCGTCCTCACTTTTATAAGGTTTGACCTTACTATCTACGGATTTTTACCTTGTTCTTGATCTAATCTACTCTGTCTCTGTTAAAGGTCACGTGACACATATTGTTTGCTCCCGGTCACCTATATAGTAGCTTCCTCTCTCTTCAATATACTTGATCTTTCCAAATCCCATCATCTAGGAGCTCTCCATTTATATCTTCTCAGGCTATGAGCACCTTGACCAGCTGAAGCTTTGTTTAAATTGCATCTTGAACACCTTGGGTCCTCCTGTGACTTCTGTACCAATCAGAGATTTCCATCTGCCCTACCAAGATCCTGTCGCTACATCTCATTCGTCAGCCTCACCCTGTTTTTTGCGAAAGTGGAGACCGCCTTTCAACGATCGCTCGTCATTCGACAAACTCTTTCGCTACCCGTGGGACGACCCCAATTATAACCAATCAACGGTCGACCTTTCATCAATACCCCATACACATGGTCTACTACATCTACTACTTATGTACTCCGTAGGTAGCCATGGAGACCACTTCATTCATCAAAATCGACGGGTACCCTCGTATACCGAGTTCGGAGATCGAATTACCTCACAGACCAGGAGTGAGCCTGTCAACTACCCACAGAGTGTCACCAGCTCACAACCCCTCTTTTACTTCCTGGCATCGCGCATACATTTACAAATACTTTCGGCGACTCAGAACGCAAACTTGCTAAGAACACCCACTTTGGTCCAACATCCTGTTGCTGCTGTCGGCTTTATGCGGGATCAAGCAAAAAAAGTATCTCTTGGCCCTCCTTCAACCATACTGTCTGGTTCAAGCAAATTGACAGCAAGATTTTACATGATGGCTGACATTTACCTAGTGGTAAGAGAGTGATCTATCTCTACTACTATGGCAGGGTGTATGGAGTTGTGCCATCCTACCGGCAGGTTGGGATTTTTCCAGAGCAATTAGAGGCGGTCGATCTCTCACATGTGAACCTCCTTGCTTGGAGGACAACGAAACTATGCTTGCCGTGTTGGGAAGACAGAAACTCAGAGGAGTCTTGGAGAAAGAAATGGGACCGCAGCGATTGTTGGCATTGTCACCGCCCCTCCCAGAAGCAAAAATCTAAGACACCCCTAACGAACAACGGAGGAGTGTTTGACACTGGCATCAGATTCTAAAAGAATGGGTGTGCGGCATGTGCTTTGTGAATGGCCGAGATCATGGATGTTTCTGGATCACAGCTAGGGATCCTGAGAACCGGAAAGTCAGGTGTGAAGACTGCAAAACCCTCTATACAAAGAGGTTGACGAAGCTTTGTCAGAAATCGCTCGATCACACGAGGACAACAGTTTCACGCGGGATCGTATCATCTGCGGAAATTGTTGGCAACTTCGAAACATGGACCTGTTCAAGAAAGATCAGGAGAAAGCTAAGGGACAAACTCAGACCGGTGCAAGTGCGAGGTTAGTCTTTGTAAATAAGCAAGACTACCCACGAATAGACGGACAGTCAACCTGGCAAGAGTAATACGGCGGTGAAAACTTGGGGGATGAGCCATTCGGCCAGACCAGACTTCCCCAGGCATACTTGCTGCGAGTCTATCAGATAGACTACAGCATCCACAAGATCATTGCCGAGAAGATGGAGTTGGATGCTTCGGAGATTGACGATTTGGAGTTGAAGGAAATGACCGAATGGACAGATTTAGCCAGGAATAAAAAGCTCGCCTCAGTTCTTTTCCTTCTGCCCGCAGGTGCCAGCAGTGTTTTATAGCGCAGGGTAAAGCAATTTGTAGATAAATGTGGCGCCGTATGAAACACACACAACTATTTTGCCCCTTAGATGATGAGTTTCTCGATGGCTCTTACAACTTCGATGTATGTAGATGCTGTCAATTGATGGTAATTGGTACAATTTCTTTTTTTGTATTTTTGCTCTGCTATTCATTTGTGCTTACAATTTTCCACTTCATCCATCTCTCCAGCACTCCATCACATTCGAAACACTGTGGAAGTCCACGGACACTCCCTCAGAACAGCAAATTCAAGCCCACATCTGGCTCAATCAATAGCGGTGTGAGTAGCATAAGTCATAAAGACTACAATGACACAACAACTTCGTTAATCAGCACCAATCCTCTTTGATGTCTGCAAGATCAGTTTGATCAACGTCTTCCATCTCCATGTCCTCATCTCGGACAGAATCCAACCATTCTTGGGCCTTGGAAAACTTCTCTCGCTCTTTCAGTAACTGAGCACGGCGATGCTGGCGCTCAGGGTCCTCCGTCATGAGATCGAGACAGCGCGCACGACCTAGATCACCTATTAGTATGATTTTCAACCTTATACTCGACATGCAAAATGGGTATACTCACCGTTATCGCCGAAAATCTCCAGGTCGTCACGAAGAGTATTGACGAGGCCTGCACGGCAAGCCCGGAACAACTTCATGTGAGTCGATTGGCACAAGACGTCCAAGAAACGAGAAGACGCGATATCGTAGTAGGCCAGTGAGCTCTGTGACGGCAATTAGTAAATGTCAGGAAATATTCCCTAGAAGACTTACAGCCATCATCTCAATCTCCTGAGAATATCTATCAGGACCAAGTTGGTCTGACTGGATCTTCTTGATCTTGTCAGATATCCTTTCGTCATTCATATCGTGGCCACGGATTTTGAGCCAACATGTGGCGCGAGCATTGTGCCGACGATCTTTCAACGACTTTGAAGCCTGTTGCATCAAGATCTGGTGTTGGCCCTGGGCCATTGTGAATGGTATCTCGTGTTCCGACTTGCAATAGTCCTTCGCGATCTGAAGATGAATGCGGCGGAGCTTGCTCATAAATTCTTTCAAGATTCTGCTTAGCTCCTGATACAGACCAGTCTGGTGGTACTGTGCAAACTCCTCCTCCAGAGCTTCAACCAGCATGCTGTGGACAAGGCTATGTGTAGCCTTCAGGAATATCTCCATGAGCTTTCCCCAATGCTCAACACTTCTTTTGTTCAAATTTTCAATCGCCCGTGGATCAAGCTGGTTTGGTACACCGACTGTGTTCGACCGAATCTTAAGTTCCGTAAGTTGCTGAAGTGTGATTCGAGCGGACGTGGACCCCTCGAAGTGGGAGGTGCTGTACACAGTCCTTCTAGGAGTTGCTGGTTCGGATGTAGAACTAGCGCTCGCAGGCGACTTTCTCTTCTTGGGTGTTGATATGTTCACGCCCACGATCTTCATTTCACAATCTGAGTCAACGACTTCGGCTAAGTCCTCATTGTCTTTCTGCGCAGCCACATCCAAGATAGGGCGTGTCTTCGCAAGTGCAGTCTGGAGATCCATCACAATCTTGTTCCACTGCTCTTGAAGCGGCTTTCGCTGGGAAGAACTATGCTCGATGCTTGGGGTCCCATCAAACAGTTCATGGATTTTCCGTTCAAGATCCGAGGTTTTGCCCCAAAGGATCCACTGCACATCCTCAGTGGGAGGATTGGGCAATGTCTGCAATTCTGCGTCAATGGCCTTTGACTTTTCATCAATCTGAGCAATGATTGATGGCAGGGATCCTAAGATCTGACGCATCAACAGGTCGGACAATGCCGTTTGAAGTTGGCGGGTACCAAAGCGGTCTTTAAATGAGGCGAGATCCCTTGTCCACAGTGGAGAGCTGAAGAAGATTTCTTCCTCATTCCTCGCTTGAACATGATTGACAAGTGTATCGGGATTGTTTTGAATGACATAGTAACCGTGACCAAGCTTGAATTTGGTTCCGTCCAGAATTTCACGCCATTGGGCAAACGCTCCCCCAGGGGGGCGGAGGTCCGGCTTGGTCAACACCCCAAGGGTACGTTCCTTTGCGCCTTTGATGTCCCGGACGAGGCGAGCAGCACTTGAATTCGTTGCATCATCCGTCATGGGTAGTGTGAGGAGTACAATGCAATGCTCCTGAGAAACATAGTCCTTGACCAGGTTTTCAACTAAATTCACCAGGTATTTTTCATTGTCCTGCTCCGTCTGGCTAATCACTCCAGGCAGATCGTAGAAGGATAAATTGGGAAGACCCGGGCCAGAGATATCCAAACGCACGGCGTTCGGAGAAAACTTGACCTGAGGAGGTGGCATGTCGGCCATAGTTCCGGGCGCGAAGTCCTGCGGATCTGTGCTTGGGTTTAAGATCGCCAACTGGGCACAGAAGATAGCTTTTTTCACTTCCTGTTTATTGTCCAAGGTGACAAAATGTTCATCATCCTGGCCGCCAAGGCCAATCCATGGCCCCAGTGGCTCTGATTTCTTGGGCACCTTCATGCGCTTCGACGGATCGAAGATGTAGCGGCGTGATAAATGGATCACACATTTCCAGAAGTCATTGCTTTCTGACAGATTTATCTCCAATGGGCATCGAGTGCATGTTCCTTCGGATCTAGGTACCTTGATCTCGGAGATACCCTCGATAAGGGAGCTTTTCCCGGTGCTCTGGTCACCGACGACACATATCTTCGGAAGCATGATCTTGCTGTCTTCGATACCCAAATGACTGAGGTCTTGAATCTTTTTCACCAGGTTTTTCATGTCTCTGGTGAGATGTTCCAGAGAGGAACCGGGAATTGGGTGGGTTGAAGTGATATCAGGTATACTGCAAGACACCGGCATTTGAACAGCTAACCCAGCTAGAGAAATGAAGAGACTAATTAGAGAGAAGACATGCCTCATCAAGAGAGACCGGACTCACAAATCGCTGGGCTGGATTCCGACTTCGGAACTCTATCAGGCACGCCTGTCATCGTGGCAGATCAGGGCTGGAGGAGTGATTGTTAGCCATGAGAGCATGGGAGCAGGATACAAGAAGTGGGGCCCAAGGTGACGGGCTGTAGGCTCAGGCCAAGTGAGACATACCAGGAGACACATAAAGATAGCCGATGATGCAAATAACAGATAAGTGCGTTGCTTTAGACCAAGTTGACCGAGAGAGTAAAAGTCGCCGCAGGTGGCGAGGAATATCAGAGTGTAAAGAGATAGACAAGAGTCAAAAGTGGCAGACACAAATAAACTGGTGCCGGCAGATAGGGGAGAAAGGCGGGATCGAGGTCGAGGAGATGGGCGATGAAGAAATATGATGAAGAAGAAATACAGGCAGGCAAGGAAAAAAGGAGAGAAAGATGGTGTGTAGAAAGGGCGAGCAGAATGAATGGGATAGCTAAAGGGTGAGAAATAAAAGAGAAAGAAAGTACGCAAGAGGTTACCACCTACACGAGGGCAAAAGAAGAGATGGAAAACAGTCGACACCGCGTTGTGGCTAAAAGGTGCTACTGGTGGGAATCTCCTTTCTTCCACAGGGACATATCACTCTTCAGCAAGCTTCGTATCTTTACAAGTTGAAGTTATACGGACCCGAGTGATTGAACACCCGCAGTCACCAGGTCACGAAGGCATGGGGTAACAGAGCAGAGATTACGACAAGGGTAGACCAAAATCCCACATGGAAGTATAGTCCCTCGACACAATGTGGTGTTAGCGTTAATCAATCTGTAACTTGACACCTTTAAATGTTATAAAGCTGAACTTGGTAAGAACCGACACTGGCTTGTACGCTCCTTATTGTCCGGATTATACTGCCAAGATCGGCCCAAAGTATTTGGTGTTTTGCTACATTTACGAGGCACTATGCATTGTACCTATCTAGTAGGTAGAACCCAACCTTGGAATGAAATACTGGATTACCTGATTGTTGAACTACCCCAGGGCCCCCGCGGGCCACTGACTCCACGACAGCTGGCTACTCAGGTTGGTGTAAGAACCAGGAAATACAAGCCCTGTAAAACTCTCGTTCTATTGGCCATCTAGTTCATCAAGGTCATGCATTTCATGCTGCCTCTCGGTTAGTTTTTCATATTCGCTTTTCAAGGCAGCATTGATTCTGTCTTCCAGCTTCATAAACCCCTAAAACATAACAACAAAATAGGTATAAGTTTCATTTCTTTCTTTCTCACTGCATCTAGATCGGAACTTTCCGTCCCATAAATTTCAAGCAGATAGCGGGTCTCCTGGTGCCGCTCTGGTAGTGCCAGGGGTGTTTGCCCGGCAATTCAACAAGACCATTCTGAGCTAATTAGGGCTGCTAGCTGCACTGTGGCACTTTATTCCATGGTGGTTTGTTAGGTGCCTGGCCATTGAGTAAGCCACGCTAGCCCAATTGCAGAATTGATGCCCTAACAAATCAAACCACAAATTTCTGGCAGTAGATGATCTATCACTGCTTTGTAAATAAAAGTATCAACTGCGACTACAACTCGCTTTCAAGCTCACATATAGTGCCATAGGGGGAGGAATTGGAATTCTTGGAGAAGGCATATAGAACATCCGTGCCCTAAGCCCTATATCCTAATTGAGTACCTACGAACTATGCTTCACAACGGGGGACGGGGAGTAGAGTCCGGGTAGTAGAGCATAATTTCTAATAAAGATCATATTTACTTAGTTATTTCAGTGCCATTTATGAATCAGTCAAGTTAATAATGAGTCATGAGGGTTGGGTGAGGTCCCCACTTATATAGAGAGTTATATGCAACTGTCCAATCAAATGACATGCCGATCCCGCCCAAAAATTCAAGTGCCTTATCCCACCATCCCACCATCCCACTTTTTGTTCTCTGTAACCACACATCATGGCGGATTCCAACCCTGTTCAAGAGGCTACCGCCTCCATTGCCAACCTTCTTCTCGACGATGTCACCGGCGAGAAAGTCTCCAAGACTGAATTGAAGAGACGCCAGAAGCAGCGTGAGAAGGACGCCAAGAAGAAGGAGAAGGAGGCCGCTGCTCCCCCCAAGCCCAAGGCTGAGAAGAAATCATCTGCCGAGGAGGATGAGGCCAACTTGACTCCTAACGTTAGTGATCTTATTTCTAGGTTAATTTCTGATTTCTAGAAAGCTAATTAATGTGTAATTCCAGCAATACTTCGAGATTCGGAGCAAGAAAATCAACAAGTTGCGCGAGACCAAGCAGCCGGAACCCTACCCGCACAAGTTCAACGTTGATACCGACCTCCGCAAATTCGTTAAGGACTATGAGGGTCTCCAAAAGGGTGAACAGAAGCCCGATGTTACCGTTCGCGTTGCTGGCCGTATCTATACCAAGCGTACCTCCGGCAACAAGCTTAACTTCTACGACATCCGCTCAGAGGGTGTCAAGGTCCAGGTAATGTGCCAAGCACAATTCTCGACCGGAAAGCCCTTTGAAGAGCAGCACGAGCTGCTTCGTAGAGGTGATATTGTGGGCATCGTGGGTTTCCCCGGCCGGACCAACCCTAAGAACCGTGACGATGGTGAACTTTCTATCTTCGCCACTGAGGTTATTCTCTTGACCCCTTGTCTCCATGCCATTCCTTCGGAGCACTACGGCTTCCAGGACAAAGAGCAGCGTTTCCGCCAGCGCTATCTCGATCTGATCATGAACGATCGGTCACGTGATATCATAATGACTCGATCTAAGATTGTCTCTTACATCCGCAATTACTTCGAAAGCCGTGATTTCATTGAGGTTGAGACCCCTATGATGAACGCTATTGCTGGAGGTGCTACCGCTAAGCCCTTCGTAACCCACCACAATGACCTCGACATGAACCTCTTCATGCGTGTCGCCCCCGAGCTCTACCTAAAAATGCTGGTCGTAGGAGGACTTAACCGAGTAGTAAGTGTCTTCCAACGCGTTACTATGCTTCGCTAACCAAAATTTTGCAGTTTGAACTAGGAAGACAGTTCCGCAACGAGGGAATTGACCTTACTCACAACCCTGAATTCACTACCTGCGAGTTTTACCAGGCTTACGCGGATGTGTACGACCTGATGGATTTGACCGAGGACCTCGTTTCGAGTCTGGTTAAGCACGTTACTGGTGGCTATGAGACAGTATTCCACACTCAGTCTGGGGAAGTCTACAATGTGAACTGGAAGGCTCCCTGGCGGCGGGTGGAGATGATGCCTGCTCTCGAGGAGGCTTGTGGCGAAAAGTTCCCCGCTGGTGATCAGCTCCACACCCAGGAGACAAACGAGTTCCTCAAGCGCGTGCTAAAGAAGATGAACGTGGAGTGCTCGGCTCCTCAGACCAATGCCCGCATGCTCGATAAGCTGGTTGGCGAGTTCATCGAGAACACATGCATCAACCCCACTTTCATCACCGGTCACCCCCAGATGATGTCGCCACTGGCCAAGAAACACCGCGAGATTTCCGGTCTTTGCGAGCGCTTTGAGGCCTTCGTTTGGTAAGTTCTCACCCAATTTACATGGGGATATGAACCCTCATAAAACTTCCCTGTTCTCTCCACATTCTTGCTGCTCAAAATTGTTCCAAATTTGCTCTGCCCGGAATTGGCCAATCAGCCTTCAGTGAATCTTTTTAGCTGACTCAATATAATTATAGCACCAAGGAGATCACAAATGCTTACACGGAGTTGAACGATCCTTTCGACCAGCGTATGCGCTTCGAGGAGCAAGCCAACCAGAAGGACCAGGGTGATGATGAGGCTCAGATGGTTGATGAGACATTCTGTCAGTCCCTCGAGTACGGTCTGCCCCCGACTGGTGGCTGGGGTATGGGTATTGACCGCATGGTCATGTTCATTACCGACAACTACAGCATCAAGGAGGTGATGACCTTCCCCATGATGAAGGAGGACAAGACCGCTGCCGACCCCAAGACTGCTGCCGAAGTTGCCGGTGTCGAGCCCAGTCCCGAAGAAGGAATCCGTATGTTATTAATATCAGCAAATTTCCACGAGCCGGTATCACTGACGATGAATATACAGCCCACAAATGAATAAAGTGATATGACTGCTCAACATCAGAATGTTGATGCTATTGATGTGAGATGCGTCTTGGGGTTTGCATACAATTCTCTGTTTTATGACAAATGCAGCAGATAAAATAGGTTCTGAAGAATATCTCGTCGAAATAGCCTGTTTTCAAACAATATCTTTCGTTGTTTGTAATTGATTCAAGAAGAGAGTCAGTATCTACATGTAGGCAAACCAGATATTTCTTCGGCAGGCAGGCCATGGACGCCTAATCAATATTTAGCCCTAAAGAGGTTAGCCAGAGATCGAGCAACTGCTTAATTAACTAATTATACCTGTGATGTGTTTCGAGGTTTCCGATCTGTTTGCTTCTCCTTAAGCGGCAGTATCCTCAAACTACCAGGCGTCATCCGATCCCATGAGACTGTATATAACAATGCCCAGTACAACTTGCATCTGAGAACCTTCATCAACCCCAAGCCTTTTATCTACACCTACCACATATTCATTTCCATTTCCATTTCGTACATCACCACCCTGTTTCTTTTCATTTTGCTCAAAGCAACACTGTATTCAATATCATCAAGTATCATCGAGCACAGCTCTGTTGAAATCATGTCCCGTCATACCATGCCTCTCCCTCGCATCCCAGACCTGAGTCTCCCGTCTTTTCGAGAGCTCGACGAGTCTATCGAAGCCAACAGGCGCAACCAACCGAGCTCGCATATTTCTAACAATACGTATGATGGAACAGATAACAGTTCCTCGTCTTCGCCACAAAATATCAATAACTTTCGCAACCCGTACCCACCCTATCCTGCCAATGGATGGCTGGTCCCGCCTGACCCCAGCCAGAATGTTTGAATTTATCCATCTCTCCCTTGAGATATCAAGCTAAAATCTAGTTAGGCTTTTCGAGAGCCCGGATTTACCTACCAAGATGTGCGTGTGCGTGCAGAATGATCTCTACGAGAAAGAGAGTATTATAAATAGCTGACTTCCAAACAGCAGAGCTCTGCCGGGGTACTTCAACCCAGCCTGAACGTGGAAAGAGGTAAGGAGGAGAGAACAAGGACCTGCGTCTCAAGCCAGAAGTGCAACTTACAAGGCCATCCTATTGAGATAGTTCCCGCGCCCCCAGCTCTCCCTGCGCCTGAAGGAATCTCGGCCATCGCCAAGCCCCACGCAGTCGACTCTCAGCTCCGCGCAGACGACACTCCGCGGGCCTCTATCTCCAAGCGCCCCGATATCATCAACCCCGGAGAAGGTCTCCCCCAATCAAACTCGACAAATCGTGTCAAACCGGCAGCCACCCAATGAGCAGGTTCGCCGCCAAAGGGTCAACCGCAATTCAGCCGCCAACCACCGAGCCCAGAGACGGCGAGTCGGCGTTCATTTCTCAGAGGTGGCAGCGCACACCGCAAAGTGCGACGTATGCAACAAACGCAACAAGAACGGCATGGCTCGTTGCCAGTACTGTGGCTGGCAAATCTGCCACAAATGTCTGACCGACCGAAACGGAGACCGAACTCACGCTTCCTTTGGAGCTACTCATGTCCCCGAGGGCGGCGGCGATATGCCAGTATCTCTGCCATCCGTGGATGGGTATCAAGACCGCCGATCCTCCCAGTCAATTGCAGTTATGACGGCCGCGCAAACCCTGCTGGATCTTGGATCTTTCAGTAACGGAACTGCAACCCCTAGTGGCACAGGCGATGTGGCAAGTAAGGCAACTAGACAGAAAGTGGCTGCACGCGGCCCGGGCTTGCAGCAGCAGGTTGATGCTTTGTCCACTGATTCTGATATGACATTGTCGGTTGTTGGAGAAGAGGAGTGGCCTCAAGATGAGTCTGATTTTCCTATTGGTGAGGACGGTCTGCCCCTTGGGTACGTCATAACACGACGCAACCCTGCGCGTGCTGCAAGACCTTCTACGAAGATGGCGGAGTAAGTCAGTGTGGATTTGACGAGGAAGGGGAGAGTAAGAAAGTATCACTGAGATCTGGAAAGAGTTAATGTAAGAAAATGGTGGAAGGCAGGTGTGAAAGCATCGAAGATGAGGAGAAGAAGTGTGAAAGGGGAGAAAGAAAAAGAAGAAAGGAAAAAGGACGGCTTGGCGCGCTTTGAGAATATCAATTTGGACTTAGGCAGATCAACCAATAAACTTCGTTTAAGTTTCAAAATGTGTTTTTACAATGAGTAGTAATGCTAGATAGTTATACAATAAGACTCGAGAATTGCTCGAGTCAACAGATGAATGGAGATGGTATCGTATCAATGACCAGGGCAATTGATTAACTCAATCCCGGTCGACGTATTCATACACTCGAGAGGCAAAGGTATTAGACTCTCTTCACAGCAGAGGCAGCAGTGCTGGAGAGCTGCTGGGACCGAGCTTTCACGGCCATCTGCAACAGCTTGGCTGTACGCGATGGATGCCAGACTCGGCTGCCCAAGATCATGACCCAGGTCAGGAGGAACAAGCTGCCAGCCTGGTGGGCGGAAGCAAGGGGAGTGGGAACAAGGTAGAGAAGAGTAGTGATACCGAGTCCGACTTGGCAACAGGCGAACGCAAACACGCCATGGACGCCCTTTCTAGCAGGTGCGGGCAGGAAGCGCTTCATCGTGGGCGAGCGGCGGGTGTAAGCCATCAAAGCGCAAATGACGGTGAAGGTAGTGACTGCGAGGACGCGGTGGTCAAGCTGAACAAGAGAAGGATTCTCGAGCATGTTGCGCCACCAAAGATCGGAGCGGTCCTCGTGGCGGGAGTAGCGGGCATCGAACAGCTCCTCCTTTGGAGGTGCGAGTCCCTTGCCCATCCATGGGAATTCGTTGTAGATAAGTCCAGCATCAAGACCAGCGACGAGACCGCCAGAGATGACAGTTGTGAAGACCAAGAGAGCAATGCCGGCGACTGAGCGGCGGAAGAAGGCCAGCTTCGGGTCACGCAGCGCATTCAGCTGGTTGATTCCAGCAGCAGGATCGGCCATCAATCGGTGGGACCGCATGATAGCAAGACCGTTCCACAACATCGCGACGTAGCAAACGAAAGCAGCACCCAAGTGAGCAGTCAGACGGTACTGGCTCACTCGCGGGTGACTGCCCGGAGCAAAGAGATCATCCTTCAAGCCAGACTTGACCATCCACCAGCCAAGGAATCCCTGGAAACCAATAAGACCAGCAATTCCAAAGAGACGCCACGCCATGGGCGTGGAGACCTTCTTTCGGGCAACGAAGTAGACTGCAGGCAGTACAAACGAGATTCCGACAAACCGGCCCCAGAGCCGGTGAATCCATTCCATATAGTAGATCGACTTGAACTCGGAAAGAGTCATGTTCGGGTTGAGCAATTGAAATTCGGGAGAGGCGCGGTACTTAGAAAACTCATCCTCCCAATGTTCCGCATTCATTGGGGGAGGGAGCCGGTAACAGGTCGCCATTCGGTGATGCTCAATCTGTGCCAAAATTTGTCCCGTTAGCATTGGAAGCTCAATTTTCGTGAAGAACAAGCATTCCAGTCCACATACCCTGATTCCGTTAACCGTGTCAAACCACCGAAGACCACAATTCCAAAAACACTGGCCGCGCTGCCTAGAAGCCAGTAGCCAACGGCCTTCTCGCTAATTTTGGGGAAGCTCGATTTGCCTTTCGCGGCGCCCTCGGCCGTCTCTGCAACGGCCGGTGCGGCATTTGACCGCTTGAGACTGGAGGTGAAGAATTCACGGTTCTTATTGTTTAGAAGGGTCGATTTAGTGGGTTGACGGAACTGGAGGGCACCGAATTGGCGGATTGATTTGGCTGCGTAGCCCTGACTTGGAAGGGATTGAGATGTGAAAAAGTCTTTGGCCAAACGAGGCGCAACACTCCGCCATAGCGACAGAGAGCTCCCCAGAGAAGCCATGATTAAGGCAGATGAGTGAAAGAAGAAAGTTGGTGAAGTTCGGGGATTGTACGATGTCGCGGAATGCCTGGGCCAATCAGCTGTGGAGCATTTGTCGGAGTGGAATAGTGCTGTCAACAGTACACAACATTTGGCTGTAGCATTGTATTAATAATTGAGAAAATACTGACATCTACATTGTTCGATTTCAAATCGACCGTTGGTATCCATATACGGGCCTAATATCGATGTTGGTGCCTCAGGCGGCGATGCCTAGGGCGTTGTGATCGCCGCAGCTCTAACCGTCAGCATTGTATTGATCCGCATCACTTGACTTTCTTCCCAGCGCAGCGCCAACATGTCCTACGCTCTGGAATCTAAGAAGCGAAAGTTTCACCGTGTTCTCGAATCAATATCCAAGCCTCTTACTCCCGATAACGCGCCCAAACCAGCCCCTGCGACGCCGACGACGGTGCAAGACCGTATCTCCGCCAACTTATCGATCAAGAAAGTACGCTTGGCCAGTGCCGACCATTCGGAGCTCACAGCGGTGCGCAACTCAATCAACAAGATCTCCCGACCAGCGCACCGAATTGCGTCCGCAAATTCGAATAAGCGCCCGACCTTTGTTCCTTGGGACCGCGAACGTTTTCTCGAGCGGTTAGAGACCTTCCGCCGTGTCGACCGATGGACTTCAAAACCAACTCCGATCAATGAAGTACAATGGGCGAAGCGTGGTTGGATATGTACGGATGTCATGCGCGTCACCTGCGTGAGTGATTGTGGCGGCGCAGTCGTTGTGAAGCTTCCTGATGAAATCGATGAGCTCGATGGTTTCAACATTGAGAAGGTGGAGGAGCGCAAGGAAGTCCGTGAGTAATCCAGCATATTCCTGATCCAGCTGAATGAAGTTATATGCTAACCTAAATACCTGCAGGCGCGAGGCTGGTGGATGAATATGCGAAAATGCTAAGTAATGCTCATGGCGAAAACTGCCCATGGCGAAACAAGAGCTGTGATGGTGAGTCTGAATAGGACACTGAGAATCTTTCGTCCCATGACTAACATCAAATTAGCAACTATCCAACATCTTCCTTTGACAAATTGTGATTCTGCCCTATCGGGTCTTCACAAACGATATACAAACATCTCGGAAATGGGCGATAAATTACCAGCCGATGATATCATCCAGACTCCAGAAGGGCTTGACCTTGATGTCCTTATCAAAGGACTTCCCGAAGAATGGTTCAAGGAGGCTGAGAAACCCGCTGTACCCACCGATGGAGAGACTCAGCCTACCAACATCGACACCCAAGACTCAACGAAAACACCTAAACCTGTCAATCGAGCCGCGCTGGCGCTAGCATTGCTCGGCTGGGATACTGCCTCTGATGGAGCTGCGGGTTTAGTCGGATGTGGTGCGTGTTTCCGTCGCCTGGGGTTATGGATGTACAAACCCAAAGATAATGGAGACGTGACCGTCTATACTTCCCTCGATGTGGCTGATGAGCACATGGAGTATTGTCCCTGGATTGACAAGGTAGCTCAAAGCGGCACTGGGCGGCCCAACGAGAAGTTGGCGGAACTACGCGCTGGGTGGCAGATCGTCGCGGAGGCCGTAAAGGTCAAACACCGTCGCAAACTTCGCACTATGGCTTCCACGGATACATTGCGGACGGACCCAGGCACACCAACCGAGACTGCAGGCGAAGAAGAAAACGCGGATGCGAAAAAGAAAGCAGACCGCGAGTGGTGGGCAAAGATTCGACGAGTGAGGCAGGTTTTGACGGCCAAGTCGCCAAAACGGAAACCTGTCTTGCCTCAATGATCTTGCACTCTGATCTTCATTTCTATTCAATATTACATTAATTGGGAGCGTGGGTTTTATTCAGAGAGTCAAAATGCATCTTTCAGCGGCTTGTATTTTGCAGTTAGCTTCGATTTATGGCCATTGTGAGACACGACACTTCGCAATGATGAAAATACATTTATCACATATTCATCCCTAGACACTGTAATCTAATTCATTGAAAGATTGTAGACCACTTGAGATGAATGGGAATTAGGGTTGGTTTGGAACACTCTGATTGGCCGAGATCCGGAGCTCATTGACCTTCGGACCCCAGCCATTGCTCTGATATAACTCTGACTTCCACAACTCCGGAGGCAATCTTTCTGTGAAATCGATCTCAAATTCTCTATTTCTTCTAAGATTATCCTAATTTCGGTATACGCCTTTCTCTTCTCGCCAGATCCCCGCGGCCATTGTTCTGCCGAATCATTTCTTTGAACAGTTTACAACCCACGCACGTCGCCATGGATCATTACCACGGAGACAGAGCCCATGATGGAGCTCCTGGGCGCTCAACCCCCGGTCGCCTGCCCGCACGAATACCACTTACCCTCCAACGGATACCGGCAGACACAGGAGCATAGAAGGAGATGGTGGAGCAGACGGAGCAAACAATTTATCAAGCGCGGCATCCAAGCGCAAGAGACTCCAGGAGAGACACCAAGCCCTCCGAAAGCGGGGCCGAACTCCGCCGTCAGTATTCTCGCGACGCAATCGCTCTCGCAGCCCAGGCGGCGCCCAACCACGCGAAGACCGACGCTCTCGATCGCCACTACAGCCGCGCCGCTCTCCCTCCCCCGACGCACCGCGTCAACGCAAGAGACCGGGTGGCGGAGCGCGACAGGGACTCCTAGACCGTGAAACGCTACGACGCAAGCAGGAGGAGCGTGAACGTGCAGAGCAGGATGAGGCTATGCGCAACTCCCAGCAGCGCGGCGTCTCGGACGTGGTCCGACAACACTACAATGCGGTCCCCGAGAGAGGCCGTGAGTGGCGCAAGACAGAGAGCAAGATCAAGGGACTACGAAGCTTCAACAACTGGGTGAAGAGTACTCTGATTCAGAAGTTCTCTCCCGATGAGAACTTTGTTGCGCGATTCGAGGATAGCAAGGACTGGGCGGACGACAGCCAAGGGCCGCCGCCCCCTGCTGATCAAAAACTTCTCGTGCTGGATCTAGGATGCGGTAAGGGTGGCGATCTAGGCAAATGGCAGCTGGCACCCCAGCCGGTTGACCTGTATGTCGGTCTTGACCCTGCCAATATCTCGATTGAGCAGGCACGGGGCCGATACGATCAAATGCGCACCGGCCGCGGCCAGCGAGGCCGTCGACCACCCCAGCCGATTTTCCATGCCGAGTTCTATCCGAAAGACTGCTTTGGCGAGTGGCTGGGCAATATCGACATCATCCAGCGGGTTGGTATCGATGCCAACGCCGGTCCCGGTGGATCTATCATGGCCTCTCGTTACGGTGGTGGTGGCTTTGACATCGTCACATGTATGTTTGCCATTCACTATGCCTTTGAGACTGAGGAGAAAACGCGCCAAATGCTCAGCAATGTCGCGGGTTCCTTGAAGAAAGGCGGTCGCTTCATTGGCGTCTGCCCCAACTCCGACGTCATTACCAGCCGCGTGTCTGCCTTCCATAAGGAGCGCAAGGAGCGCGAGGCTGCCAAACCTGTTGAGCCGGAAGGCCCCGAGGATGGTGAAGTCGAGGAGGATGAGCGGGCCCAGTGGGGCAACGATATCTACCGCGTTCAGTTCCCAGGTGCAACCCCCGAGGATGGAATCTTCCGTCCGCCTTTCGGGTGGAAGTACAGTTACTTCATGAAGGAGGCAGTGGAAGAGGTTCCTGAATACGTCGTTCCATGGGAGGCGTTCCGAGCGTAAGTGTCGGCCGTAATCACGCTCTAGCATGCATAACTAACTCTCTACGTAGCCTGACCGAAGATTACAACCTGGAGCTACAATACCGCAAGCCGTTTTTGGATATCTGGGAGGATGAGAAGAACCACCCTGAGCTGGGCCCTCTCAGTGAGCGGATGGGCGTAAGAGACCGTGTGACCGGTGCTTTGAATATGACAGAGGAAGAGAAGGAGGCTGTCAGTGAGTAATCCCCACATGTGCATTGCTTTTCTCGGCCGCTAATAGATGACATCGCTAGGCTTCTACCACGCATACTGCTTCTACAAGGTATAGACTCTCAGGATACTTAGAATATTGCATTGACCCTGAGTGTAAAATCTTCCTCACTCAGCATTTTTATTTTGAATTACAAAGAATCATCTCCTTATCTCTCGCAACAACCAGACTTTGCAACAAGACCTATGTGACATCCATAAATCACCGTTGATGATTACAGTCCCCAAACAACCCCACCCACAGGCATCTCCAATTCCTTCAATAGAAACTCCAGTTGTCTTCTTAGTCCACAAATCTACTGGTCCCAAATCCCTCTCATCTTCTAAATATCCTGCTGCTGAATCTCCACCACATTTCCATCAGGATCTGTAACCATCAAAAACATCTCAAACCCAATCAACCCCTGCGCCTTCACAAGCGCCCTCTTAGCCGCAAGATGCAACCCAGCAAACTCTCCAATGCCCATCGAATTAGGCACAGGCCCGGTAAAATCCTCCACAGCCTCACCAACCCTCTTAAGAACCCTTACCCCCTGCGCTTCAAGATAATTCTGCGCTTCCACAACATTAGGAACAACAAGCCCAACATGTCCGAAGGTATTAGTCCTCTCAGTCGATGCGATAAGCCGGTCATCCGAGACATTAAACTGCACCAGTTCCAGCAGCCCGTACATGTTGTTCTTGGCTGCCGCCATCTCTGCCCCGGTTTGGAAACCAGTGCCGTTCCGTCCGCCTTGCGCGTACCCCATGTAAGTTACTGTGCACTCGGGTGTCACTTGTGCGTCGAAGATACTGCGCAAGCCGAGGATGTTGCCGTAGAAGTTCTTCATGGCGGAGAGGTTGGTGGTCAACAGGCCGATGTGGTTTAGGGCGAAGCCTCTTGTTGCTTCTATGGCTGGACCGTCGGTGCCTATTGTGAAGGGGTTTTGGTCGTTGGCATCGCGGCGCGTTGGGTTGCATCCCCTGGCTGGGTCGATTGCAAGGAGGAAGAAAAAGATAGAAGAGAGGTTTCTGATATGCATATTTGAGGTAATTCGCTTGATAGGAGTGGTCTTTAGATCAATGGATGGATATACAAATGGCTATAGTTCGAGATATTTTGCCTAGACTTTTCCATCCTTTATATACATGGAGGGGATCTCAAACGGCTATTTATTTAGATAGTGATTGTTAGAACATGCATCTATCTGAACAACACCATACACTGTGCTTACTGAACTGTTCGGATTAGTGGGGGCAGCGCGCAAGGCTAGCTATATATGGTGAGACCTGGCGATATGCTTAGACCGAGGCCCAAGCTCAGTGTCTAATCTTGCATCGGGAGTTCTATGTGTTGTCCATTTCCGGGCTTTAGGGTTGATTGTGGGGTGTGATCGAGTTCTAGGCGGGTGATCAGCCACTGGGGTAAGGTTCTTGGTGGGGACATACACAACCGTGGACTGTCAGACCCGTAGCGCTGCATCAGGTTGTCATGTGATAGTTTTCTGGAATGCAGATCAGTGCTCAAATCAGATGTGTATACGGACGCCAAGCCACCCACAGCTTCGATATGGCAGTTGGATTGGTGCGTGACTGTCGTTGGAACTGTCGTCCGATTGGGACGGGTTTCAGAGCATATACGAGCTTATGCAGAGTTATAAATCAAGGAACCCTTCTCACTGGTAGGTCGGTTCCTATAATTAAGGCGTCCTATGCTGACTTCATTCTAAGTATACTCTGAGTTGAATATATGACTGACATTGCAGGGTTTCATTCATTACCGATTACATCACACAGCCCTCATAGATGGGTTTTTACCAAGGGAACTCCGCTGGATTTCTTTAGCTCAATAGTTATACCGAGTTTTAACACTCGAGTATCACAAAATAGCATCAGTATATACTTCAATGGTCCCTGACGAACTACATTGTGACATAAATGGGGTTGTCACACGAACGTGGGGGTTCAAATCAACACGTTGACTTGAATTCCCCAAAGGAGTGATTCATGAGCATTTGAACTCTCCGTAGTTGAAAACATGCCAACGGTGAAGGTTGTGTGGTTTGGAGCTACAAGAACAGCGGCGAGTTTCAGCCTGATTTATTTGCCAAATTGTCTGTAGCTATCGAGGAAGATCCGAACTACAAAATAAGGGCGTTGTTTGTATATCTTGATATTTTATGTATAGAGATAAAGATGAAAGTGTTTCTGAACAGAATCTACTCGGCATACTTCCAATGCCAAGGCCCACCTGGGCACTGCATATTGATAAGGCTTATCGCTGATATATGTAACTCCAAACAGGACTAGCGCAATCGCGTCTCGCGTCGGGATTTCGAGATGCGCTTTGTTACTTAGACTTTCTTTGTCAACACCTTGAGAGCCCTGTATTCGAATCAAATCATAAAACCCCCAATAATCCGGATATCCCCAACTCACACCCTAAAAGAGTTTCCCCCCAACAACAATGTCGGCCACACCAAGCCGACGGCAGTCATCTCAGGCCCATCCACAATCAGCACAATCACGCAGACGAAACGCAACCCAAACAACAATCTCAGAAGCAACACCTCTGCCAGAATATCAGACTCCAGAAGCACCCCTCACGGCAGAAAGCCAGCGCCAAATCGCTGCTCTTCTCGCATCACACCACCTCCACACCCTCCGCACCCACCTCCAACATGCCGCCGAGAAACTCACACACTCAGGCGGTGAAGTGAATGAACGGCTCAGCGATGCCCGGACTCGGTACGAAAAAAACAAAGAGACGCGCCGGCGCCAAGGCGACGAGGATGTCGACGACGACGAGAGCAATGAAGAGTACCAGCGGCTCGCTGAGGCGGAGGCTCGAGTCGATGCTGTCACTGCCCGGATGGAGGAGAAGACACGACAGATTGTCGATTCAGAAATCAAGCTCCAGGGGCTGACAGATGCGATGGGTCAAATTGAAAGGGAGGAGGGTGAGAACGTCGCTACTGCTTTGGGGGTGAGACAGACCCGTCAACAGCGGGCAAGGCAGAGAGCCAATGAGGGCGATGATGCCGATGAGACCGAAGACCCCACCGATGGTGATTACGAAGATGCGCAGGAGAGAGAGATACGGGAGCGCAATGCACAGAACCCGCCCAGTCGCAAGCTAGTCGATAAATTGACCGAGGGCGCTCAGAAATGGGATGAGCTTTCCTTGACAGAGAGGTATGAGATTCATCCTGGTCATATTGGTGGCTTTCATATTCGATTCCCGCAGAAACTAACAACTACGATCTAGATATGCCGGCAATAACTCCTACATCGGCTTCTACCGAATGGTTCACGACTCCAAGTTCCCTGGCGACGATGTCCCGCCGTTGCCCCATTCATCTACATGGTTCGAACACATGGAAGATACGAATACGCGATCAGGAGGACCGGCACGTACGCGCAACCAGAACCGTGGCCTGTCTCCCGCCGACTCCGACGATGACATTGCCATTGAGCGCGAGCGCATCTCCCTCAAATGCCCATTGACTCTCACATCTTACCAGGATCCCGTGACAAGCACCAAATGTCCCCACAGCTTCGAGCGGGAGGCTATTATGGATATGATCAAGCGAAGCCAGACGACCATTCCGCCCCCGGCATCTCGCCGGGGACAACGCCGCGTCCATGTGGTTAAATGTCCTGTTTGTTCTACTCCGTTGACCGCAGACGATTTGCGGCCAGATCCTGTTCTACTACGTCGTGTTCGCCGCGCACAAGAGCTCCAGCAGCGCGAGGAAGAGGATGATCACCTTGAAGGGGATGGAAGAAAGCAGAAGGATCGAAGTACCGGCATTACCTTGGGTAGTGACGGGGAAAGCGATGACGATGCTATGGATGTCGATGCCCACCCTGCCTCACAGCGCGTTAAAATGGAGCCTCTCAGTCAGCCTGCTCCCGCTCAATCTGAGGATGAGTCGAGCGACGATTCGGAAAGTCAAGATGCTGAGGTTGAGGATGCGGAGAATGCGGAAGGGGAGAGTGAAGAGAGGGATAATGAAGAAGGGGATGATGAAGAGGCGGAGATTGAGCAAGAACAAAATGAAGAAGTGGACATCGATGAACCCAACAATGAAGAAGCGGAGAGTGAAGAAGTGGAGACGGACCAGGGTGAGATTGAACCAGCGCTGAGTGAGGAAGAGCAGAACGAAGAGACGGAGACTGACGAATCTGAAAATGAAGAAACGGACAGTGAGGAGGTTCCAAGCAAGGAAACGCAGAACGAAGAAGTGCAGGATGCGGAAGTGCAGAACGAAGTGGGGAATGGGGATGTGGAGAGCGAGGAAGGGCCGAACGAAGCTGTGGATTCTCGGAAAGATGTGCAAAAAGCGGATGCGCCAAGTGAGAAGAGCCAAGAGAGTGACAGCGACAGTGAGGACAGTGAAGGCAGTGAGGATAGTGAAGGTAGTGAAAATAGTGGGGACAGTGATATTGAACCCAAAATCGAGAGTGGATCCGAGGATGAGGTGGAAAGCCATTGATCTGCATGATACCATCCATTTCTAGCGTTTTTTTTAAATGAAGTTCCTTTTTCCCGAGCAAATGAAACGTTTTCGAATCGGGAGTTTTTTTTATTTAAAAGATTCCCCTAAGAGGAGTAACTGTAACCAAGTAGATGAGATTTAATGTTATCTGATAGATCTCACGTCAAATCTCTGGCCATTAAAATTCCAAAAGAAAGATAACGCTAGTCCCCTCGTGTCTCTCTCCCCGCAGTTCAACCAACGGAATGGGCTGTGGGACCCGAACCAATCAACATGAAGTATTATAACCGCCTCTAGACTAGTTCCCTCTCCCTAATTATATGAAGGTCTTCCCAACCGAGGACATTTTATTATATTTTATTATATTATATTATATATTATATATTATATATTTTTTTAATAGGATGCGACTCTAATCCCAGATCTTTAACTCTATTTGCCGAAACTTAAGAAAAGCCCCCATAGTAACCTTGATGACTCTACAAATACTACATTCTAACCCCAGTAATTCTCACGCGACCCCGGGCCCACAAAGAAACAGTACCATCAGGGTGTAACACTGCTATCAAAGCGCACCGACCCCCCTAAACCTCCCAAACATCCAATTGTATTTACCGCCAGTATCTAAGCCTGTCTCTTTTTTTTCTAAGGCCAACCACATAGTAGCTCCAGCCCGTGATAGAACCCAATGCTACCCTGCTACTATTCTGATACATCTATCTCCAAATTGCAATCTGAACCTAGCGCCTTCCTTGTACCTTTAGCAGGGGTACATCGTACAAGCTATCGTTTAATTTTTGTTTAAAGATCTCCATGTCTCCTTTTTGATCTTCCCTCCCCACACACCTCTTACCAACACATTTTACTCTATTCTTCTGTGGCCTCGTTCATAATGGATGAACGGAAGACTCCCGTTGAATACTCCTCCGAGCCAGTCCACACTCCCCGACCCGCAGGATGGATGTACAAAGACACCAAGATCGGTAAATTCTCAACGAGCTGGTATGCTTCCCCACGCATTCAGTTGGGTATGGTCGCCTTTGTCTGCTTCCTCTGCCCAGGCATGTTTAACGCTCTGAGTGGAATGGGCGGTGGTGGAAAGTCCGACCCTAGCTTGGCCGATAAAATGGTACGATTGACAACCTCGGAACTTTTGTTTCTTCTCGTCCCCACTCTTGTCATATTCAAATACTCCGAAACTCCGATTGGTCACTTTCCTCTATTCACTCTCTAACAACAACAGAATATCGCCTTGAACAGTACTTTCGCCGTCGTCGGTTTCTTCGCTGGAACGGTCGTTAACCGTATCGGTGTCCGTCTTTCTCTCTCCTTCGGTGGTGTCGGTTATTGCATTTATTCCATTAGTTTGCTCGTCTCCGAACATGCTTATGTCCCCGGTTTTAATATCTTCGCCGGCGCCTTCCTCGGTGTCTGCGCCGGTCTGCTCTGGGCTGCTCAGGGAACCATCATGATGTCCTACCCGATCGAACAACAGAAGGGTCGCTACTTCTCCTGGTTCTGGGGTATTTTCAACGTCGGCGCCTGTATCGGTAGTTTGGTACGTCCAGCCCAGTCATTTACCTGACCCTACAATCACAATTGATCACAACTAATTTAACAATCTATAGATCCCACTGGGCCAAAACATCCATGTCAAGGAGAACAAGACCGTCGGCGACGGTACCTACATCGCCTTCATCATCCTCATGTTCGCAGGTGCCGTTCTCGCCCTGTTCATCTGTGACGCAGACAAAGTCATCCGTCGCGACGGCTCGCGCGTCATCCTCATGAAGAACCCCTCGTGGAAATCCGAGATCGTCGGACTATGGGATACAGTCCGCTCCGAGCCGTGGATCATCCTCCTCTTCCCCATGTTCTGGTCCTCCAACTGGTTCTACACATACCAGCAGAACGCCATCAACGGCGCTTACTTCAACACTCGCACCAAGGCGCTAAATGGATTCCTGTACTGGTTTGCTCAGATCGTCGCCGCTGTTATCATGGGTCCTTTGCTTGATAGCGAGCGCGTGCGTCGCTCTGTTCGTGCGAAGATCGCACTGATCGTCCTTTTCGTCCTCACAGTCGTTATCTGGGGTAGTGGCTATGCTTGGCAGGTGCGATACACCCGTGAGGATGTTGATCCCAAGACCACCGATTTCAAGGGCTGGGATTGGACGACCCCCGGCTACGTTGGTCCCATGTTCCTCTACTTCTTCTACGGCATGTACGATGCTGCCTGGCAGGGTCTGGTCTACTGGTAAGATTTCTTTCTCTATTCCCCTGATATACCCGATATACCCGGCCTAACATCATTCTAGGATCATGGGCGCTCTCGGTAACTCCGGCCGTAAGCTCGCCAACTTGGCAGGCTTCTACAAGGGATTGCAATCCGCCGGTGCGGCCGTCATGTGGTCGTTGGATGAGCGCAAGATCCCCTTCATGAACGAATATGCCTCGAACTTCGGTCTGCTGTGTGGCTCGATCCTCATCGCTGTCCCTGTCGTCTTTTTCAAGATCAAGGATACAGTCCCCGTGGAGGATGAGCTTGCGGGCACTGGAGAGACACTTGAGGACGTGCTGCCCCCTGGTGCCATTGAGTCCAAGCGTGTTGGGGACGAGAAGATCTAATCAGAACTAATATGAACTCAAAGAGAATTGGAATGTGATCTTTTTTTCTTTTCGTTTTTGCGACGGGCGTCTTGTTCTTCTGTGATGGATCTGGAAGTGCGCCTCGGTCTGGACTTGAGCCTGGGTTTGGCCCGTGATTTTATTTTTTTATGCGTGATTCCCGGCTGTCTGGCTCGCATATGGCCAGTGGTGTACTTTGGGGTCTCTATTTTTATGAAGTCGGTTTTAATGGTGAATTGTTTTCACTCACGATGGTATGGGGATTCCTCTTGTGTTTCTATTCTATAGGGCTTGCTTTCTGCTTTGCCGTTAGAATGGGACTATTCACATAAACAATGGAGAGACTGTAATCTATGTCTACACTGTATCCTATTCGTAATTAAATAAGTTAAATGCTCCATCGGTGTAAATGTTTAGGTCTTCAAGCCGATTGAATCGGCGACATATTTCAACATCTTACCATTGAAGAAAAGAGAAAGTATAAAATGAGCAAGTAAGCTATCTATCCACTGAGGATCCTACCTACTTAGCATATCTACCCCAAGCAGACATCGTGGCCCAAGACCAACGTAAGTATGGCAGAGGCCAAGAACATGAGCAAGACAAGGGGGTATTCGCTTGTCGAAACGCAAAGCAAAACAAAACAAAAGAATAAGCAATGACTCGACAAAGACTATGTGTTGTATTCTGTTGTCATGCTGGCTTTCCACGGAGAAATCAGCCGCGTATCCTCTCTCCGACATATTTCCATTTTCTCTTCGGGGATGAAAAAGAAATTGCACATGGGAATGATCCACCGATACCATGATTTCCGAACACCAAATCTACCATTGGTAATTTGTAGGGAATGACGGGTTGCGCGATGCACACAGACCGCGGAGCATAAAGTATCTCGGAGTTGGATTGGCTATGTTCCTCCGGACGCTGCGCTTCCCATGTTAAAAATAGCAGATTGTGTCTATTGATAGACTGTGTGGCGTGAGAATATTAAATCGCGTAACTGAGCAATAGGTCGATCGATGCGATGTATTGGAGAGCATAAAAGAATGAAACCCGAAAATTCAGGCTTTCAAGACAGTAAACCCAGTTTACTTGGTGAGCAGGTTGAGATAATCAGCCACGATGAGAGTGACCATCCTGCAGGAGTCAGTGGGGAGTAAAATAAGGGGAAAATAGTGGGGGCAACTAACGCATGAGGAGCGATCCGAATGTAGTAAGTTCCGAAGCCACGATAGAAACGCAACCAGCCCTCTTCCTTGGCGACCTTGCGCGCACAATCAACCAAACCCTTGTAAGGAACCAAACCAGTCTTAGGATCCTTCTGTTGTTTCTGCAGACGCGTCTTGATGAAATCGAAAGGCAGAGACAAGAAACTAGCAAAGAATCCAGCAATACCAGAAGCAGCAAATGTCTGATTTTGAGCGGAGAGAGAAGTATGTTGCTTGAGCTGCTGCTTAGCCTCAGCGAAGAATGTCAATTGACCCATGTTGAGAGCCATGGCACGCACAACCGTGGGCGAAGCACCAGCCCACAAGGCAGCGAGGCCCTCGGTGCGGGTGATGCGAGCGAGAGCATCAAAGACGGAACGGTAGTTTGCGCGTGCCTCGGGGGCCTTGAGGCCATCGGACTGCATGCGCACGAGGGCTAAGTCGGCCGGGTTTCCAATCATGGCCGCGACTCCGCCGGCTGTCAGTCCTGCCGCAGCGCGCTCGGCGAAGGTGACCTTTCGGCCTGCGGCTTCGGCGCGATGGTTCAGCTTCTTGATGAATGTTTCGAAGAAACCCAGGCGGGCGGTGGTGTAGACTGCTTGGCGGAGGATACCGGCGGACAGACCAGTGTAGAGATCGAGGACTTTGCCGGAGGCGATGATATCGCGTGTGATGCCGAGGGCGGATGGACGGGGACCGGTGCGTGCTCCTTCGCCGGCGAGCTGTAGGCGCACTTTGACCATATCGACGGGTTGGATCACGGCTGTTGCGGTCATACCAGCTAGTCCTCCGTTGAGGAAGGGGAGGGCGGCCCGAGTGTATGGGTGGTGGAGGAAGTCGGTGGGTTTCTCAATAGCGGACTTGGTGGCGGTTTGAGCAGAAACAGCGGCGTCGCTGGCGCTGTCTTTGATAGTGGATGCCATCTTGAAGTAAGATACTGGATACAGGTCAATACGATGTATGGTAGAAAGCGGGAGATGCACGAACAAGAAAAAGCCTTTCGGAGGGTTAGCCAGATCTCTTTGGTGGATTTAGAAGCCACGGGGTTTGTTGTCGTGGACCATGGTACTTACCGATGACGTAGTTTCTTATAACGCAGGTCAACAGATCAATAGGTTAACGGGTCAACGGGATCAACGGTGCTAACAGTGCTAACGGTGCTAACAAGATAGAAAATGAAGAATAGAAAAAGAGAATATTAGGGGAGACACAAGATACAAGTCACAGGACAGAACAGGTGCGGGGTGTTTAATGCTGTGATGATTCGTCTGGTACAACGGGGCCTGAGCTTGTCTATATACTTGAAGGTCTTATATTCATTCCGAACCGGAGATTATTCCCTTGAACCGATCAACCGAATAACTACCCGTGGGTTCCCCGCCTACTCCGTATAGAGACATAAAATGGGGATAATCCTGAATATGGAGCGAAAGTCGCCAGAACCAGGCCTCTTCTAGGTTTCCATGTTGACCCAATTATATCTGCATCATTTCAGTGAACTTGCACATGCACATGCACGCTATGGAGCTTGTCAAAATGCGGGGAATAGCTTGACGATCCATCAAAGTTGCCTTTTACAATATATTCATGCTCTCATAAGCGCATAAATATTCCATATGAATATCCCATAGCTGTGTCTAATATTATTGAACACTATCTCATATAGAAAAAACAAAAATCCCCGTCATTCCCTTGACCCTGTCTACATACTCCGTAGCGGCAGATATGTTAGTGCCACGAGCTAAATTCGGAAGTATCCACCGCTAAACCCTTTTGGGTTCCCACGAGAAAGTATCGGGATCCCGTCTGATATACCCGATACCGCATATACACCTTCTTCGGGCATATATCGGAAATCAAAGACAGATGCTGATATCCAGATATCCTGTTCAGGAATACAGGCCGCTCACTATATTCCCAGCACATGAGCACATGTGTTGAACATTCAATAAAAACGCACGGATGAGCCGTATATCGGTGATTTAATTATTGGGGCCTTCTAGAGTGCCTAGAATCCAAACGGGACCACATCGGCGGGATGGGTCTGATCGGCTATTCCACCTGAGTAATTTTCTCCCGCTCCCTCGGGCCATCATCCGGGGATGTTAACACGGCAGTCCAATCGGCCGAGCACAATTTCGCTGACGCTGACGCTATGCCCGAGGACCCGCCCTTGCACCAACCCCCTAGTCACCGACCAATCCCATCCATTGAGATTCTAAAGGATCCCCTTTTCCTGGTGTGGAGCTGCGGCTCAGGCTACAATTGTTGAGTTGACAGAGCTAGTCTGCACACTTTCCTCCGGTTTGGGCTTGCTTCTGGCGTTTTCCGCCGATGACCGGCGATAATTATGTCAGGTAAGCTTCTGGGGGTGGATTCTTGCCCTGGCTCTGGTGCTGCGTGTACTATATGGTGGTGGTTGATTTCGCCGATTACGGATATAAGTCCTCAACTTCCAATATCGTTTCAAGAGGACCGGGCAAGTCGGTTGGACACGACGGAGGACTGTTCTCCGGGAAAGAGCGTCATATGTTTGTTCGGGGATGTGAACCCCTGACTATTTGTTCTGAATATGGCACGGGGATGAGACGGGATCTTTTTTGATGAACTTGATGATTGTCATTGATTGAATTGGTAGGGTGGGAAGGTTAGTAAAACGATGCGACATTAAGCTACGAACAGTGAATGCCAAAGAAAGATCTAGCATCGGATATCACCGTTCGACAATAATATACGACCCGCTAAGTCCTTTTTCGATCGTTTTATCCCTCATAGTCCGAGGCCCCGAGTTTAAACCAAGTCCTGGACTTCAAAGCACAGAGAAGACGAAATATCCAACCAAACAACTCGCGCGCATAGTCACGGACCTCCCAATTTTCACGAACACATCCAGCTACCTGCATCATCCTCCGACAACAGGAAAGTATTTCGCCTCGGAAAACGTTCGTCCACAGCAAACCTTGTCACTTCCTTGTAAATAACACCAACTTGCGCTATTCCAACCTAACCGATCGTGAAACTCTAAGCACCTAGTATTCCCGAGGTCTCCAGATTCCCCCTCGCGGAATCCACTCCGTGCTTAATCGACCCTGAAGAGTTCCCACGGGCAATGTGTCAACCCACTCAAAGCGCATCACTCTTCTATCCGCGGGAAGGGTTCTCGGCAAGTCGGGAACTCCACCGGCCTCAAGCCTCGATTTGGACCCACGGGCCCGCCGGCATGGGAGTTCGGGAACCTTTCTTGTATATGGTTTTCCTGGACAGGGGTATCTCGTTGAGGAGCCGGGGACGGGATATAGGAGCGGGAGTGAGGGATTTTTCTATTTACAGGTGCCAGGTACCTCTCTCCGACCTCTCTAAGGTCTGACTCTATAACAGCTTTGACCAGTTCCTTTTTATTTGCACTTTTTAACGGTCTTTGCTTACTTACTTCGTTGGAGGCTGATTTATATTCTACACTAAAACAGCTCTGCAAATACTTCACGGCTAAGCAAGCAAACATTTTAGTAAATGACACAGTCTGTTGCTGTTGTGAGAAAGAAACCCCTCCTGGCCGCTACATAACTAGAGGTATCAACCCCTTTTCTTTGGAGTGAGCTTCCCTCACTCATTTCATACTTCTTCCTTGTCATAGTCTCTTTCCATCTCAGCCTCGCACAACAGTTGAGAGAGTGAGCAAGCCAGGTCCGTCATAAATTCCCCAGTGCCTTCTTGGAACTCGTTAAAATATTGTCTGAAATGAGTATGGTAGGTGGCAATGAACATGCATAGCTTTCTGCGAGCAGAATCCATCCCGAAAATGCTCGACGGGGGCGTGGTGCCATAGATAATTCGAATCGCATCTACCAGACGGGGATACGTAGCTTCAGGTGAAATGCAGTACTCTGAGAGAAAAGGCTCGAAACAATCCTCCATTTCAGCAAGAGCATATTGTTGCAGGCCATTAACAAGATAACGCAGGGCGAATGAGTACACCTTTGCATGCAGAACTATCGCATTGCCCGTGTCGGTTCGATCAGCCAGGGAGGAGCCGGTCTTGGAATCTAGGAAAGCTATCAGTAAGATTTGAGACGAATTGTTGAAACATTGATTGATGCACTGTGTTCAGCAGATGAGGTTTCTTGGGCTGGATCCTCTTTAACTGAAGGGACTTTCCATGGGACGTTGTAATCCTGAAAATAGCAGAACTTCAGGACACAGTCGATTGTTTCTTCGTCGAAATCGGTCCAGTCCAATGTCTCTTGTCCGGCGGGGTTCCATGGCCCAGTCAGCCTGGCGGCTTCTGCAACCACCTTATTGCCTATATCCAGACTAGGCCCGATCCATACTCGACCTTGTGCGATTCTACAATGAGTGAGATGAACTCTGATCCAGAGAAGGTATCTGATTGGCCAGAAATTGCTTTATCAGGTGGCTTATGGTGCCTCATGACCTACAAAGCCAAAGATTGTTTTGTAAGTAGAATTCAAGCCATACCACTCTTGAGTGTTGAGCAGATTCGGTAGGTCAATTATCTTTTACGTTTGTGGGTAGAAGGAATAATGCATCATATCGGACATCGTATTGCTCAGAATAAAGAAAGGACTATTAGCCATAGGGTTGGGTCAGTTTGTACATGGCAGGGGATCTCCAGCTGTATTCTAGACATTTAGATAATTTACAGCAGAAGACAGACATCCCCCGAGAGCAATATGCTTCCATATGAGGACCTGAAACCCCCTGTAATATCTTGAGATACTCATGATTGGATGGAAACATAATCCGTACAGCTTTCTGCGTTCGAGTCTCCCAGTAGAGAAGGCTATGATCATTGGTAGGGGTTCATTGTCTAGATTCTCTAGCCGAATATGGGTAATAATGGCTACCTGGAATTTGACCTAGCCCTGTATATTTCAGCCACTTGATATTTGCCCCCTCCTTTGTTTAAATAGACCGTCCTGCCTTGTATTTGTGCCTCGCCTCCGTTAATTCGTATCTAACTAATGATTTTCTGCGCCATGCTCTCAGAAATCGGGAGCCGTTTCCCCTCCAATCCAATCCAAATCTTTGCCTGCCTGTCTGTTGGGGCTCTCCTCACTGTCATCCTATATCGGTATTGGTTTCATCCACTCAGTAAATTCCCCGGTCCTCCACTAGCTGGGATCTCTAGCCTTTGGCAGGTATGGCAGGACATAATCTGCCAGGGCAACTTTCCACGATCTATAGCCGAGCTGCATCAGAAATATAGTAGGTGATATTAACAGAAAATCAGACTATATCGACTGACCATCTCTTTAAACTCCAACGTAATTCGTATCGCACCAAATCACCTCCATATTAATGACCTTGACTTTCACTATAAGTAAGTTTTAGACACGATACAGATTTTACCACTTTAATCCAACTGCTACAGGATTTTAAAGCTCAACTCGGATTACCTCAAAGACCCCGAGTTCTACGAGAAGCTGGGCGTTCCCGATGCATTGGGAACTATATGCGACCCTCATAAACATCGCATTTTGCGTCGTCGAGTGAATCCACTGTTCAGCCAACAGGCTGTCAATCAAATGGCTGGAGATATTCAAGCAACAATCAAACATGCCTGCGACATGATTTCAGATAATTTTGACGCTCAAAGCTTCTTCCGTGCAATCGCAGTATGTATGCCTTACGCCTTGTGGTCTATCTATATGTCCTAACAAATGTGGGAATCTAGGGAGATATTGTCTCTGCCCACTATTTCGGCGAGAACATGAACCTGGTCGATAGACCCGAGTATGCGCGCAACCTCTGGGATGGCATCGACACAATGGTCAGACAGATGTGGTACTGTATGACCCCAATAAATCCCCAAGATAAAACATGTGCTGAATCTCCGACGAGCGATTCATATTCCATATCTCGCGAGCATCCTAGTGAATATGCCGATCATTGTTCTCAAAATCTCGTTCCCGGGGTTTGCGGGTCTAATAGAGGTACGATTCATGCCTATATCCTCGTCCGCATCTACACTTGCTGAGTTTGTCTGAGATAGGTGTGCATGCGACAAGCTGAGAAGGCTATTGAACGGAATAGAACCAAGTCTCCTTCACCCGAGAATCACAACATTGCAACCTTCTTCGATCTACTCATGATACCATCGCCAGGGCAAGAACCAGTCCATCTCAGCCAAAATGATATGGTGAACCACGGCCTAAACCTTGTTGGCGCAGGGGTAGACACGGTGTCACTCACCATGACAGTTGCGCTCTATCACATCCTTTCATTCCCGGAGATTCAACGTCAGGTATACTGCGAGGCACGGGAAGCAACGCCTTTCATCCGAGACAAGCTTGATACGCAACGAGTCCGAACACTGCCATATCTAGTACAAACTTAGCTAACCCCCGTTCATCTTCGTCTAAATAGCTAACGATCCTTCAGGCAGCGGTTATCAAAGAAGCTCTGCGCATGTATCCCCCGGTCCCAGGTAGACTACCACGCATTGTCCCGCCACAGGGCAAATCCTACGACGGAAAGTTCATACCGGGTGGTGTAAGCACAGTCCGAGAATATGACTCGCCAAGCCTATTATAACTTTGAAAGGTCTGACAATCGCATAGACTGTTGTGTCGATATCCCCGTACACCATCCAGCGAGATCCCGTATTGTTCCCCGAGCCAAACTTCTTCAAGCCCGAGCGGTGGCTAGCTGATAATACAACGGAGCTGGAAAGGGCTGTTATAGCCTTCAGCAGTGGAAGTCGCATGTGTCCCGGAATCCAGTGAGCAGCTCTATTTGATTTTCGGGGTTGTTACTGTCACTAACTCGCAAAAGTCTAGCATATCTTGAGATGCACATGACTCTTGCAATGCTCTTTAGTCGATTCGTCCTTGAACTTGAGAGTCCGCTTCCAATGCAAGAGTTGGATTGGAAGGATCATTTCGTTATTGACCTTGATCATCCAGTCAAAGTTAGGGTGCTGGCTGATTACTGGACAGGTGACAAGGGTCGTACAGGCCTGCCTGCCTAGTTATTAAGTAAAGTTCTGGTATAAATGAAAGGCTATCGGCACTGAAGTCAGTTTTTATGACATGTCTCTAAACCAAGGGTCATTCAATATCTCCTCCGCGGATGCCCTGGCAGAAGGCTCAAACCGCAGTAGTTTTCTGATAATACCCCCAAGCTGAACTATATCATCTTTTGTCAACTCTGCCTTGCGATCGCTCACAAAGTATAACTCCTCGAGCCATTCCTGCAATTTGATTTCTGGTTCTGAGGATGGAGTAATTTCCTTCCTCATTTCGAGCCAGGAACCTTGCCATCTCACAGGTAGCGAGTCGCTGATCATCTCTTGCATTTGGGCAGCGAGCATCGGGGGCGTGCCCATGAGGCTGTCAAATGGTGTTTGGCCGACGAAAAGCTCAAAGAGCTGAGAAGATATGAGCTTTGAATTTTGAATATTGTCCGTGTTGAGAAATTTCCACATCACTTACCATACATCCCATGGCCCACAAGTCAACGCGATAGTCCAATCGGTCGTTGAACAGTATTTCGGGTGCTCTAATAGCAAGCGGAGTGTTGAGGTTTCGAGGAGGTTTATCCAACGTGAATGATTCCCCAAAGTCGATAATCTTGATGGTATCAAAGGACAAAGCCTCCCTGCGATACAGAGTATGTCCAACAAGATATTCCGGGACACCAATATCGATTGGTTTTCCATCACTTCGCGTCACTTTCCCAATATCAGGTTTGGACAGCAACTCCATAAATCTCTCCTCGGGTAATCCGTGCATGCTGGGTATCGTGAAAGCCAAATTTCGAGTATGGAGATCTGTGCATCATGAGAGCCGTTCGATATCATTCCGAGGATGGGAGAATAGCTCACCACCATGTCCAATCTTATGCCGATGGAGACTTTCCAACCCGACAAGAGCTTGTTTCGCGAGGATCTTAGCAAGTTTTCCAGGCACTCTACTATCCCGAGTGTGGAAATCGACCATATCATCAACATTAGGCCCTAAAGTCTCAAGAACGAAGCATTTATGCATCCCGTTTGGGCCCTCCAGATCAAAGTTATCAAGCATTTGTATAACATGCTGAGGGCGAGGATCGATTGATGCTAATTGGCTCATGGTTTCGAACTCTTGGGTTGGCGTATCAGTTTCCGTCTTCGAGGTGGAGATTTTGATAGCAACATAGGCTTCTTCGCTGTCTGAGAATGTCAGTTCTATCCAACCGATGACGCGGTTGCTGTTGACCTTCGATCTTTGGCAGCCCAGACCGTTGAATAGCCTCCCCATCCTAGTTTATGCAGTATCTTGTATCTCCCATCTTGCAAGTGATCTCCCAGAACGGTGGGGTGGTAGCCGCCCTTTTTATAGCGATGGAGCGATTCGGCATAAACACCACTTTTGTACAGGCAATGATGCACCTGGGATTGGGTTGACGTGGTATGATAGGGGCTAGAGCCAGTTGGAAGCCATCGAAGTCTTCTTCGTCTGACAAGATATCGTAAACCCATGAAATGAATGGCTGATCTAAACAATCACGTCAGTACAATTATATAAGTCTTTGTTGACAGGCGTGTGATACAGCGAACTGCCAGCAAGGGATCATGAAATACCCAATCACGTGGTCTACAAGAAGCAATTATTTGATTACCAGAAAGTAGAGTAAGTTTTAAAATGTTTATTGACTATCATGTAAGAAATTGTTTCGTTAACATCACCAACTCCGTTCAGCCAGTCGAAATAGATGGCGGAAGATAAAAGAAAAGCAGAACCCAGATCGGGGGGAAATCAAAACATATCCATCGCTTGTCCCGATACAAGCGGCGGACGTCGGCGAGAGGATCGAAAGATCATCACCAAAAGGAAAAAGCACGCCATGCAAACGACTTATTCATCCTGTTTGGGAGAACAAGAAACAAGGAGAAAAAGCAAATTTTAACCGTCGCTCCAACTCTCTAAACCTGGGGAGCAGCGGCAAGGACATCGGGAGTAGCCTCGTCGGAGTACTTCTTGAAGTTCTCGTTGAAGAGGACAGCAAGCTTGGTGACCTCATCCTTGAAGGAAGTGGAGGCAGTCCAGCTCTTCTCGGGGTTGAGGAGCTCACTGGGGACACCGGCGCAGGAGGTGGGGACGGGGAGGTTGAAGGTAGCGTAGGTCTCGTACTCGGCCTTGGCGAGCTCGCCGTTGTGGATAGAGTCCAGGATGGCACGAGTGTACTTGAGAGGGCAACGCTTGCCGCCGGTGGTGGCACCGGCGCCAACCCAGCCGGTGTTGAGGAGCCAGGCGTTGACCTTGTGCTCCTTGATCTTCTCGGCCAGCATGTGGGCGTAGCGCATGGGGTGAAGAGCCAAGAAGGGCTGAGCGAAGCAAGACGAGAAGGTAGCCTGGGGCTCAGTGACACCGTCCTCAGTACCGGCCATCTTGGAGGTGTAACCGGAGATGAAGTGGAACATGGTCTGCTCGGGGGTGAGCTTGGAGATAGGGGGCAGGACACCGCGGGCATCACAGGTGAGCAGAATGATGTTGGTGGGGTGGTTGTCACTGATGCAGGGAATCTTGGCGTTCTCGATGTACTCAATGGGGTAGGCGCAACGAGTGTTCTCGGTAAGGGTGGCATCGTCGTAGTCAACAACACGGGAGATGGGATCGAAAACGGTGTTCTCGAGGACGGAGCCGAAGCGGATGGCGTTGAAAATATCGGGCTCCTTCTCGGCGGAGAGACCAATACACTTTGCGTAGCAGCCACCCTCAATGTTGAAGACACCGGTGTCAGTCCAGCAGTGCTCGTCGTCACCAATCAGCTCGCGCTTGGGGTCGGCGGACAAGGTGGTCTTGCCAGTACCGGACAGACCGAAGAAGACAGTGACATCACCGTTCTCACCCTGGTTGGCAGAGGAGTGAAGAGTGAGGACGTTGTGCTTGACAGGCATCTCGTAGTAGAGAACGGTGAAGACACCCTTCTTCATCTCACCAGCGTACTCGGTACCGAGGATAACCATCTCCTTGTCGGCGAAGTTGATGGCCACGGAGGTTGCGGAGGTCATACCCTCAGTGAAGCGGTTGGCGGGGAAAGAGCCGGCGTTGTAGATGACATAGTCGGGGTGGAAGTGGTCGAGCTCCTCGCGCTTGGGGCGGATCAGCATGTTGCGCATGAAAAGAGCGTGGTAAGCGCGAGCGCAGACAACGCGAACGCTGATGCGGTAGCGCTCATCCCATCCGGCGTAACCATCGACGACATAGATGCGGTTACGGGTGTTCAGGTAGTCGACAGCACGCTCACGGTTGATACGCCAGACCTGTGGATAATGTATTAGTCACTAGCCTTATTGACGTCATGCACGTGATAGCCTCGGACCAAGGGCGGGGATGCGGAGCAACAATTGAAAGCCGAGGGGCAAAATTGGGGGAGGCGAAAAAGGGAGAACAAAAGATGAAAAGGAAATATCAAGGGAAGGAGGTATACTTCGGCAGAGACGGCATTGCAAAGGTTGCACGAAGTCCTGCCACAAAGCTTGACCTCCTCCCGATGCATATGCAAGGGATACAAGTGGATCACATCGGGCCCATCTGCAAGGGTGTGCTCCAACATCGACAATGAAGTATCAAGTAAAATCGCGCAATAATAAAAAAAATAACTCACATCAAGTGTCATGGGCTTGTTTACGGGTCCCCACCAGATATCGCCTTCTGAAGAAGCCTCCTGGACGATACGCTTGTCGGAGGGGGAACGGCCAGTCTTAGCACCGGAGTATGCGCTCAAAGCACCGCTAGAGGTGACAGCAGTACCAGTCTCGTAGACGAGGGCATCTTCGTAAAGGGCAGGAACAGAGGGGTTGGCAATCTAAACCATGTTAGTTCTTGAAGCAAGATAAGAAAAACGGCATAGACATTGTGATCAAACGTCAAGCGCAAGGGTGGCGAGGTCTTACAATTGAGACTCGGTCGTAGTCAATGTGAGCAGTCTCGTGAAGTTCCTCCTCAAGCTCGGTGTGACCCTTGCTAGGCCTAAGTAAAGACAGTTAGCGACGATGAGGTAAGGACAGTGAGGTAGGAAGGCAACATACTGAACACCGCCAGGGTGCAAGGCAGTGCGATTTACTGATGTGGCAACCATTGTTCTGAGTGAAGTAGAGTGATAGTTATTGTTGCGTTGTTTCGCGATCTGCTGTTGAGTGAAATCTGATGCCAGAGGACCAGGAGAACTGGAGCGGTCGAGGGGTATATAATCCTTTCCGGCAGAGGCCATGGTCTCGGTCGGTCTTGGTATGAAGGAGGTTCTCGTGCACTTTCCGTAGTGTTTCTCCACAGTTCCACGGGTGATGTCGGGGCTGAAACGCCGAGCTGAAGCGGACACGCGGTTGGTGATGGGATGAAGTCCGTAGGTTGCAAAATGCCTCGAGGCGCAGTCCGACTTGACCCGAATGGTTCAAGTGGACACGAACTTGATTCGGAACTAGGGGACTCTGTGACCGGGAAGGCGAATAGCGGGAAACAATTAGGCGTTCTAGAATCAAAAATAACTCATTGATATTCTGAGTGGTTTACAAGGAGAAAAGTTGATGTGTCGAGTGCATGAGTTCTTTTATGCTTGACTCTGACGGTTGCGGCAAATTCCCTAACCCAGGTTCGATTTTACAATTTCGTCAATCATTTAGAAATTAATCTTGAAACTTGTAACGATTAAGTCGATTTCTCTCATAATTTGGAGAATTCTTCAGCCACGGACGACAGGAATGACGCACAATGACTTCATTATAGTAGTTCTAAAAATTCATAGTTCCCAGAATCGCGGGGAGCTGACATAATCTTCGTCGATCTGCAATTTCGACCCTTCATCTCTCCAGGGCTGTTTTCGGCTTGAATCAACCCGAATATCGGAATGTGCTGCCCGAGGGAAATGGGAAGAAAAAAATTGAGAATCTCCAGAATCCCCGGATGACGACAAGTTCGGCCGCAAAATCGGAATTGCCTGGGAGCAAAAATTCAGCAGCAAATAACGGCGTTTAACCAGCCGAGGATGATGGCACCTGCATCCATCCATGGCGGCGGTGGGGACCAATCAGAACCCATACATTTCCACCTCCTAGGATGGTCGGGTGGGCAGAAGATATTGCCGCTGGGTCCTAGACCCTATTTTCACTGGTTTTCACTGGCCGGACGATAATCATTTTTGGTTGTGCAATAAGATCAACGCCAAACCTCCGAGTACCTGGGCCTCCATACTCCAATTCCAAGCCCTAGGCATGAAACCCCGTGCATATTACGTCCCAACGCCGAAAGCCATGGTCTGGAACCCGGAGTTCTAAGAATGACTCAAAAAATAATATATGAGTCTGCCGTGATTCTGAGGGTTTTCATCGGCCGCCATCGCCGTCGGGCTGTGCACTACAGATGTGGCTTGTGCAATCAACCCCAGATCCCTCTCCCCGTGGTTAGCGGCGGATCCCGAACCGGCTACGGCCTCGGGAACGTGAGCTTTTTCTTTTTCCTTGCATTCTTCGTGAAACAATTAGTTATTTTTGCGCGATTTGTTTCACCTTACGTAGTGACTTTTCTTTTTAATCCCTGCTGATCAATTTTTTTTCTGCCTTGCGTGTGACACGGATACCGGATGGCGAGAACTATATGGACTATTTTGAGGCTTTTTTCACAACCTGAAAGGGTAAGGGCTAGTGGAGAAAGGGGTTTCCCCCTTGTCTCCTCCACAAAACGAGAATATGTATAGTCATAGTAGAAGCAAAGCATGTGATCTTCAATTAAATGAATCTATTCACACATTCCGGCTACATTTGCCCCTTTTCGTCCACACCCGTCGCATTTTCTTCTTGATGTCCGTTATCCGGATCAACATTCACCAGCGTAACTAGTATATTCTCGGTGCTTGATATCAACCACAGCCAATCATTTCTGAAACTTAGCTTCCTAATTTACCCGTTGTGATATGGTTCTTGTCTTTCATTCGAGTCTACCTATCTAAAATATCTGCCCAACCAGCGCCGGTGGTTTCAAAATGGCCTGGACCGATTTGAAGGAAAACTAAGATCGACTCATCTCCTATTTTCCCCGAGACTAACTCTAGCACTCGGCTGCACGTCATTGTTTATATTATTACTACATCAGGGTACAATAAAAAAAAATTCAAGGCACAATATACCAAGACTACACAATTATACTAGTCTGGCTCCTGATCCCATGACTGGCATTACGCAGTATTACTCCGATCTTTACACATTTTGGTCGAGGCGCACTTCTTGGCATCTTGGCTTTTATCTGGGGAAATTGTCGCGTGGCCCTCGAACTGCGGATGCGGGGTATAGCGCTGAACTGTTAAATGAGCTACCAGTAAGAAGGCACAGAGGATTATATCGTGACTCGGCGATTTTCATCAAATGATATATTTGGATTGCAATTTGGCCTGCCTTGACTGTTGATGTCACGTTCCAATGCACAAAGCATGGTCGCCCAAGGATCATTCGTATTTTCTGAGTTTGCCAGCATTGGCAGCTGAACTGTCGGCCATAGTGAATTAGGAAGGTAAAGAAATGTGACATCAAATGCTATAACGGGGTAGGATCCTCCGAGGGTCCAAGTGAAAGAACAGGTTGGGCATTCATGACAATGGAACCGTTGGCTGAGCCGTTCGCTACAGCATATGCTAATGACTTGATCCAAAATGGCTGTTCATTGTATCCTGCTTCGGGGCTTGGAATCAACATTCTACACGCCGCACCCCCCCCCCCGTATCGTATAGTAGCTATCCGGATATATGCGAAAGAGAATACTCGAAGATTAATATACAGATTCGGACGTCTAGAATATAGGGACTTTCTCTCCTTATATAAATGATACATACACGAAAATCTCACGTTCTTGTTAGTTGATAACTTGCCGCTAACGCTCGCGTATATTATCGCTTTTCTATATATTTATCCCAGCGAGGCAGGGTTAGGATCCATTAGATGCTAGATTTGTCCCTCATGCCGTTTCGATGAGCTGTTCTGACTTTTTGGATTCTCGATAGTGCCTGTGATCTGTAATAAATTGAAGATGGTAAACCTTTTGCATCGGAAGAAAATGGAAGACTATGATGAAGCCCAATATTCTCTCAAAGACCGCAATTTCGATACACTCACACCCACCATCGCCTGTCTTCTTTATTCTACTGTCCACGGCGCAAAATATAAGACTAAGAGTGATCAGTAAAAAGGTTTCGGACAGATTGAGCCAGCAATTTTACGTCGAGGATAATCTCGATGCATATATCTAATGATATTCGCCTTGTAAATTCCAGTCTGCAAAGTAATCATGTCAAACAAACAATCTACCGCTTTTGCCACGCCGAGTCTGGGCCGCCCTGCAGGAACAACTTGTCCGAATAACTTGCGTGTATTTCTCTTCTTGTCTTTACTGCTCAACTCTAACCACAGCAAATACAGAATTTTGAATCTGGTATCACGATCGCGAGCTCCATCCCATGATGGTATTTGGGATAAATGGTTGCAAGACGTGGCTTTTTAAGTAGTGGTTCTTCAAGACTCTGGGCACCAGCATAAAATTGGCGATAACCGCAGCCAACTAGGAAATTCAATTATGGCGGACCATGCCGTGGTTGAGGAAGCTATTCTGAGAGTTATTTAGAAGTATGGGAGGATAGACTTCATTGTGCTGAGTGACAATGATCCAATTCTTTTGGCGCAAGGTCTCGAGGGCGACGTCCCAAGAAAGCTCTTGGTTACTAGCCACATACGCTCAATATGTGCAAGATTTTGCACGAAAGAGTAGCCTTGCAAATTTGCCTGGGTATGGTATGCGATAGATTTTGAAAAGTTGGTATTAAGAGCGTTTGGAAGAAATTAATACTCGCCTTCTGAAACTGGGATATTATTGATAGAAGCAGATATCGCTCATGCTCATCTTCGTTAAATGCCTACCTCGACTGATCTCTTAGCACTTGAAAACAATATTAACTTCGTAGCTCTCGAGCACTGGACTTGAATGTAAGTGCAAGAGTCCAAGATCTGTAGAAGCCTCGTGAAGCTTTGTCGGTTGGTACGCTGGACTAGGTCAGTTCTGTAACAACTCCCCTGCCGTAGGTGTTTGTCCAGGTGACGGTGGGACCTACACTCTGTTGGTGACCGATATGCTGCAGACCTCCAGGTTATCTTTTCCCTTGTCCAAGATGCTATTATCCTTGGTGCTCTTTTGGATTGCCTTGCATTCGAGAATGGGAAGGCCATTGTGGACAAGGTTGCTAAAAAGGCACTCCCTAAGCTTCGTACTCACCAAATCCCATTCATTCGAGGGCAAGGGCCTCCCTACCGAGATTAAGCCTTTTGGAAGCCTACTTTTATTCGGGCACCTGTGTCGTTCCACAGGGATGCTCGTAGATTAGTAGTACAGGCATGGACCGCTCATTGTAAAACTTTCATGACTTAAACGGCAGGTGGGCTATGTTTAATAGACAATGTGCCAGTGATTGTGGAAGGAAGCCCTGAGAATTCATAGAGAAATCCAGGAATTGATGAAGTCAAACTTTAGGCGAGGATCGAACACGAAGGAAAGGTAACTAGCCCCCAAATTAATGCGACTCTTGAATACACAGAATCACGTACTCCGTAGTAATCATCAAGATTGGACTAGTTTAATGCACATAATACCTCGTAATCCGTACTATTCTGGTTCTTCCATGTACAAAGCTTATCCTCCTGCGCAATGCAATGACAAAAAACTGAAGGCCAATAGTACTGCTTAACACACCCCGCCGTAACCGCGGGGAAATTTGGCTTGTCTTAGTAAGGCAGTTCTCAAATATATAGCCTACTACACTACAACGCTGATAGCCAATTCCAATCATCCTCTTACTCACGTCAGGACTAATTTAGTTTCTTCCTACCTGTTCATATCTTTAAACGACATGGAGTGCCTGGGTATCCCTGTTGACCATCGACTGCGACGGCTTATTCGTGAAGGCCGCTCCATGGATGCAAATGGAGCAGATTCCAAGCACGTTCAGCTTCTACTTGAATTTGGGTCATCTATAATATTGAACGAACATGCATATCCGATGTGTGACCTGGGCTTTGAGCTCGAGATGGCACGTCCGGAAACGAAGGGCGGCGTGCTGGTTGCCTTGTTACGATCCCATTCGACGCAGAACAATTCAGACGGCTTTTTGGCAGGCAAACAGGGCTGTGCTACTCTCGATGCAGTATCTGACCTGATTTCTACTGTGAACGATTCCAAATTAGGCTTTGATGATATCAGCGTATTTGACGCTATACCCTTTCTCGACGAAAGAATCGAAGGCCCAGATCATCAAGATTTCATTGATGAAGCACACGACGTATTTGCCGAAATGGTCAGAGCTAAAGATCCGGATGTCGTTATATGCTGCTTCAGAACAATTTCACAGGACACCCTTGTTCGGCAACTTTCTGGCTGCGGCGTGGGAAAAAGCCATAACAATAACAAGCTGGTAGCGGGGCTACCTTTTATTTGTGTGAATGCGTTTCATCCAAGCTACGCGGTCAATCGTTATCCTATATTTTGCTGTTTCAGGCAGCTACTCCTGCTAGAGTTCACCAAGGCTTTTGCTTGCTGGAGACAGAGATGGACCGAAGAACCATGGATGGGATTGTTGAGGACTAAATGCCGTGATGCAGTAAAGAGGACTGATAATGGTACGTCGTTCCTTCCGCCTTTAGGCTATACTAAGCCGTGTATTGTGCAGCCAAGGACTATCGAGGTCACTGGAAACCGCAGTACCTCAAAGACCAATGGCGCAGTCTTATAAATTCTCTGACGGCAAGTTTCGAAAGCTCTTTCTTTCAAAAAGTTGATGACGAAGGGCTTGAGGATACCTACGCCAGGCTTGAACGGTCTAACATTACTTGGCTTTGCTGCGACGTGGCGTGGATGCTGGAAAAATTGACTGCAGAAGGCCCTGTAGCTTTGGGTCTACAGCCGCAGTTATCAATCATGCTGCGAATTTGGTGCCTCAAAGCCTGACCGGAAGCCAGATTTCAACGCACTTTGAATGACTCTGATGGGTCTACGATCATTCGCAGCTTTTACTCAGAAAATCCTCGCAACCAAGACCATTTGCTAAAAAGCTAGAGAACAGCTTCTACAACCTACTACGTGATCTGAACCTCTCTTTCAAGCAGTCGGATATCAAGGTTCTCCATAATCAAATTGCCCAAGCACATGCTTTTCGAAGGTTTGCTGCTAGTTTCGAGGGCTTGCTGGAAGAAACACTGGAACAGATCTCGGCCCAGGAGAAGTCCCAGGAAAACTCTGAGTTGTGCGATGAATTTACAAATAAGGTTGTGCTATAGGGCAACCAGATTGGGCATCATCCTAGTTGACTGTCTTAAAAAGACTGTTTGAATATTTCATATGAAGGGGCTATGGATTTGAAGGTGGGGAAATGAAATAAGCCTCACTCTACGTTCTGGCTATGCTGTATCAAAACGATACAAAAAGAACACTCCGGAATATCCCTAAGGGTGTACTGTAGCAAATAAAAACCCACCTTGTGGTAAAAATTCCCAATCAGAGGAACATTGAAATGTGGTGTCTTGTTGGGTTCTACCTAACCCTACCACGACAGCCGGAGAACTCCCGCTAATGGACGCATGCCACCAAGAATAAATATAATATTGTTTGTTGGCTTAAAGGCAGTTTTCACTCAGCATTTCGAGATCCATTGCCGTTATCCGTGAACTTGGCAATGTCAAACTGGAGTATGACATCAGATCTCATTCGGATAACCATTGAGAATTTACCTGATCCACAGAGCTCAGATCAGCCGGTACATTGTGGCATTTTTATGTACAAGTTCTAGTAGCAGTTTTCGCCAAAAAATAACTTGATTTTATGTATGAAGATCTTGAAACCGCAAACATGAATTCGAATCAGGAACAAGCAAAACATTCTAATACAAAATAACCTCATTACTCGTAGCTCCCGCCTCAACCCATCCACCGAGCAACTTTCGCGCAACTCCGGCAACAAGCTGGTAGTAGTTAGGTGGCGGAACAGCACCAGGAGGAGGCTTTCGGCTTGGGTCACCAGCGATCCAGACAACAGGATCTTGCGAGATACCAGCAACATTCTCGCGTAATGCCTCGATATCCTCCAAGTCAAACCCACGACCGAAGATAATTGCACGTACAGGCCGGCTGTAGTCTTTCGTGCCGACATCGTTGACGTGGGGGGATTTGGGATCTCGGCCTGCGAGGAGATAGGGAATTTCGGATTGCGCTGCTGAGAGGCTTTGGATGAAATGGGTTACTAGTGAGTATTAGCTAGCCTGCTGTGAGATGATTCGGACTGTTTGGTAATAAGAAAATAATTTATGCTCTACTAACCTTCAAATTCGGGGAGTAGGAGCTCGGATACCGGCTTGCCGATCCCGGAGTCTAGGGCACAGATCACGATTGGGAGAGAAGAGGACATTGTGGAGGTGTGAAGTATGCATGAAATTATCTGTATTCCTTGTTTGATGGGATGGAACTTCGAATTGGGGAACCTATAAACCGAGCAGACATCTCCATCTTTATCTAGAAGTTCGGAGTCCGACCTACTAGATGCGGCTCGGGAATGGAGACGAAAGTGCCCCACGATGTTAATTTTGGGACTAGCGGCATGCAGGAGCCTAGTAATTTGAGACAGTTGGAATCATGTGGAATTTACTTCGACTTACTCCATATAAATACATAACATTCATAAACTCCCAAGTCCCTGCTTATTATGGCTTGTATAGATCAAGTAATCTATGCTATTATGCTTCGCTACTGGTTCCACCTGCCCAGACGGGCCAGATTGTTATTCCGCAATATGCCTCAACATGATACATCACCAATGGGGATATTCGCACTTTACTATGACCATCTACTTTTGAACCGAAGCATGCGTTACACCCACTATTTCCGGTTGAGTTTAAAATCTGACTGGGATCGTTCAGGTCCAACCCTGTGACTAACAACTTACATCATTCGTCCATATAAACATCTCATATCATCCATCCTCCAAGTCTACAAGAAAGAATCCATCGCAATAAAATATGGCATCAACCTCACCCCCTCTATCCCGCCCCGCCCTCAGCACCAAGGCCCACCGATACCGCATACTCTCAACCCTCCTCTCCCTACTAGACCGATACCTCTCCTGGCCCTTCCCCCCAAAAGCAAACATCGATATCGCCATTCCCTCAAAAGTCAGCAAAGCCCCAGGATCAATCCAACTCTACTTCTTCACCGCACCCTCAAACCCCCTCTCACCCCGCAAGCAAACCAACCCATCCCCGCCCCGCCCCGTCCTAATCAATTTCCACGGCGGTGGCTTTTCAATCGGCCACGCTCTCGACGATTCCCGCTGGGCTGGAACGGTGCTAAAAGCCTACCCAGATGCGGTAGTCGTAAGCGTCAATTACCGCCTCGCCCCAGAACACCCCTTCCCCGTCGCGCTGGAAGACGGCGTCGATGCTATATTATGGCTGTGGCAAGAAGCGAAGAAGTACAATCTTGACAGAACGCGTTTCACGCTCAGTGGATCCAGCGCAGGCGGGAACCTCGCTCTGGCAATGCCGTTCCGGCTGCATGAGGAATTGCAGAAAAAGCTCTGGGCGTCGATACGTGGGGAAATAGCGTTAGCTGGATTGGTGGTATTTTACCCCAGCACGGACTGGACACGAACGCGGATAGAGCGTGATGCTACGAATCCTATCTCTGCGCAGAAATCTATGATCTCCCCTTCTATGTACAAGTTCTTTGACGATTCATACCTTCTTGCTGCGGGATTACCAAAACGGCCTGGTACAGGTCGGATGGATATGTCGCATCCTTATCTATCGCCTGGTTTGGCGCCTGCATCTCTATTGTATGCGGCTTATCCGCCTGCTGTGGCGATTTATACTTGTGGGTGGGATCAGTTGCTTGTTGAGGGGAATACGTTCCGAGAAAGGCTTGGTGGGTTTGTTGAAGAAGGAAAGATGGCGAGTGTAGGTGGCTTTGTAGTTGAGGATGTTGTTCATGGATTTGATAAGAAGCCGTCTTTTTGGAGGGGGAATCAAGTGCGTGATAGGATGTACGGGGATGCTCTTAACCAGTTGAAGGTGATGTGGAAGATGGATTGAGATCATTTCGGAGCCTCGAGGCCCCAGCCTGATCTATATGGATTAGTATACTACTTGTCCACCCTGAAGTCTAGGCTGCGGTTGCGAATTATTTATACTGCCGCATTTTGATGGCTCTCCTAGAGAGATTTGCAAGAAGGTTAGGAAAGTGTGGCAGGATATTAAGCACGCTAACTTGTGGGTTCTACGTCTCATCGCGACAGTCACACCTCATAAAAATTGGCCCAACTCGTTTGTAAATCTAGCATTTAGCGTGAGCGCTTCCTTCCTAGCGATGGTTTATAGTGGGCTTCCCTATACTAGAGGCACCACCCGGTAGGATTAGTACAGCTAGCCTAGAAGTGAAGAAAAAGTGAAATTGAGAGAAAGATAAGGATTCAAGTAGTCAGTTCCAGTTTAAAATATACTATTTAACTGTATGTTAGAAGGTTGATGTATAGATTACATGTCAGAGCAAGTCATGCCTTATGATAATGCACTTAATGGACTAAGAGCGAGAAATGCACAAGAGACAAAAGTGAACATCGTTATTCTGAACTACCCAATGATCTCTGAGCCACGGGGATTGGCTTGCAAGCTCTTACGGGGGGAAAGCAACTGAAGGGCTCGTATGCCGATAATCTTCAACCAATCTCGGCCACGGCGGCGGACACTCTCGTTTTCACAAGCACGCTGCTGATGAAACTCCTTCAAGGTCTCCATGAACTGAATGATGGCAGATATAATAGCCATTGTCTCAATGTAGGACCTGTTAGACTCGACTAGAGCAGCTGTCAAGTACCAATGCGGTCGGAAGAACAATGGACCTTGATTATCGCGGGGGATCAGGTGGAAACACTCGCCAAGAGCACTTTTAATCTTGTCCTCGCGCTCCTCCCAAGTGGAATCGGTTCTTTTCGTGGTGGCCTCCCAGGCGAAACCATTCCACAAGATGCATATCTTGTTACTGGGCATAGGAACTTTGAACAAGCTGACGAGTTAGTCTGCAAGAAGTGCGATCTCCTAGCGGAACCTGATTGTTGCTGCAAACATGGGCGCTCATCCCTTGTAATTATCGCACTCGTAGTAGGCTCGCAACCTTCTGCTGAATCCCATCATTTGGCCTCTTTTCCAGTCCCCAAGGCACGTTTGACGAAAGAGCCGGCCCATAGCTTTAATCCGCCAATGGGTAATATTATCCGTCATCCGGTCAATAATATCCTCGATACCATTATATTTGCAGTGCCAGCTTCAATGAAGCTGGAGTTGCTTGGGTCTAGGTTTCGAAGGTCACGAACGTCGGCTGGGCCGGTGGCGTAAGGGTAGGAGGCGAGCATTTCCCATCGGCGTTCGAAATATTTCAGCGGGACTCTGGTCCGTCCTGTCCATGAGTAGTCCCACTGATCATCCTGCGCGCTGAAACTGAACCCCTGGTCATCCCAAAGCGGGTTTACACGATTCTCACATGTTCGCCAGATCGAATTGAAGGGGGTGATTGAATTGGCTGCAGCAAGTGGTATGGTCTATGCCGGGGGGTTATATGCTCCAGGCACACAGGGCACTTCTTGATGTATTCCTTTGGTAGATTTTCCCCTTTATTCAAGAAGTGGGCTGGCTGCGCTCGATAGACTTTCTTCAAGCGTCCTCACGAAAACGGAGCCGTAGCTCCCGCCAATTCTGTGCGAGTTGCGCCAAAGATTCAACCTCCCCATACCCTCATTAGTCGCATCAGCTGCTGCCATATCATTGTTGGTGAAATCCGGGGTTGTGACCCAGCCACCGGAGTGACATGCCGTAGTAATGAGAGTGACACGTACTCCAGGCTCAAGCACGCCTTTCAGCCTCGTGGAGGCTAGACCCATGTGCTTATCTTCCTTTGAATAGATGGTTGAAGGCGTAAAAGTCCGATATGAACCAGCCATCGTCTTGTGGACTGCCTGTGGTCAGGGTAGGATGTGTAGCTGCGATGATGATTGTGTTCTCGTGCACGACAGGCACTGTCAAGGAGATGAACATCGAGGGCCGCATATCAAATCGAAGGGCATGACCTCCCTGGACGAGAGGCTGATAAGATGATGTGGAGGCCATAATGACCGGGTTGAGCTCTTTGAAATCAAAGCTAGATGAGGATCTGATAGGATGGGTAGGTATGAGAGAGGATCTGGCCGACCTCCTATGGAATCTCCCACTGACGGATCTGACTAGCCTAGAAGTGAGACCAAAGTGAGAGAAGACAGATCAAAAGAAAGTGGGAGATGAAGGGTAAGCGTGAAGTAGAGTATGATTCTCAAAGTTCCCGAAGGTTGCGTTTACTTATCTGTCGAACTTTCCAAATTTAGACCATTCCAAGTTTGGAAGGAACCAACAGAGCTTGTTCCCACGGATGTGTAGAGAAAGCAAAAGGGAAATCTCAAATCAGTTTATTGAGAGGAAGGAACATGAGGTCTCATCCGCCTTAGAAAGGCTACCTTTACAGCCCTTGGGGCTGGCAGGATTCTCTGTCAGTGGTGGACAGACCATAATAGCAAAGCACTTGCACACAATTCTATAGGAGACATGGGGGGATATACTTGCTTTCCATCGACTTGCAACTAGCTCGCATCGTTAGATTCTTAGAGCTATAAAACAGACGCACTCAGACGAAGTCAATACATACATTCTCAGTATCTCTACTGGTGATTATCTTTTGTCATTAGACTACCTAAGTACATGTAGGTACTTTGTATGTAACACCTCAGGGCTATCAAATCATGTGCCAAAAGTCATATCAGAGCAAATGACCCTAAGCGGGGCACCAGTCAGGCGGGGTAGAAAAGTCAGCAATTTTCTTCTCAACGTGGTTTACTTTACTTCTCACACATTTGTTATTTCTTAAATTACTTAAAAGGTATGGACTGTTTTGTCTGCATCTCTCCTAGGGACCTTGGTGGTTATTAACTCTCTGTCAGATCTATTTTCATCTATCAAGAATGAACGGACACGCTTCCTGCCCTAAGTGCGGTGCCGGCACTGACGGCTCTGGCAAGAGCTGTGGCGCCTGCGGTGCTGTATGTTGATTCTGCAGTACTTATGTGCGCGCTTATACTAAACCATACTAGACCTGCCCCGTTTAAGTCATACCCTATTCCATAGGCCAGTATGCACTCGAGTGTTTCGGATGAAGGGTATCGGAGTTGGGATTGCTTGTGGTAGTGGCAACATGAGGATGAGCCAGGGCAGTAATTGGATATCAATATGTTTATAGGAATGATATGATGACAACGGAGAATGAACTCAAATCTATTCGAAACCAAGTGCGATTGTTATGTACGAAAACAAAAGAAACGACGTGAAGACATTTCCCCGGACTGAAAAAAAAAGATATAAGGATGGTGATAGGCGAGAAACAACCATCAGGATATAGAGTGCGCAATAAGAATACCTCCTCGTCTCGTTCTCCCCTTTCCCGAGCCAGCAGCTAGGCCCGAGACACCAAAATCACCCAACTAGAGGATCACCAATCTCCCACTTCATCGCGGACCGATTATCCGCTTAGACGGGACCCGCGGTCTTGCGCCACTGGGACCAAACACCGATCAAACTGCTGACGGTACCGGCGATACCGACGAGGCCATCGTCGAGGTTAACGATACCAACGGCAGACAAGGGCGCGGCCAGATCGCAAACATCAGAGATGAGCTGTATCCGAGCAGCAGAGCGCTCCCTAATAAAAGTGTTAGCAGACAATCCATTTTTCATTCTGATCAGCAGGAACCCATACTTCTCAATCTTCTTTGCCTCAACAACACCCTCACCCTCCTTGCGGTCAATAGTCTTCTCCTTCTCCTGAAGACGGACAAGAGTGTAAACACCAGCCACAGCGCTGAAAATCAAACCAGCGCCCCAGGAGCGGTAGGCGGAATCCTGCAGCCGCTTAGCGGAAGCCAGCTTCCGAATGCCGATCGCATCAATGACTGTGACAGCGTCGAGGGTCAGGTATCCGGCATAACCGAGCTGACGACCGATAGCCAAGTAGCGCAGAACCGGGTCGACGGGGCTCTTGTTATCGAAAGCAATAGCGGCAGCCTTGAGATGCTCGAGGAATTTGCCGATACGCATAATCTTGCGAGTCGTGCCGAACTGCTTCTTCACGGCATTGTAGGGATCGATCGCGGACTGGGGCTTGTTCGTCCGGTATAGGTACCACGCGTAGAAGCGGGAGAAGTATTGGATTGTGCGGAGGAGCTTGTCGCGGCCGACTATAGATTGCGTATATTAGCTTGGATGCTCGGGTAAGGGCGGGGAAAGCTCTGCTGAGTTTCTCGGCCGAGTGCTCGCCACATCAGGGGTTTGCTGCAGTCGCGATGGAAAATGGGGGTTTTTTGTTCGTGTAGGCTTAGAGGTGCTGGGATGTTCCTTTTTGGCTCCGGGGATGTATCACGTACCGGTTGTCGCGACGAAGCGTAGCCAGTGCGCCAGCGCAGGGTGGTAGATGAGTGTGTTGGCGACCATTTTTGTGTCGGTAAAATGGATAAAATGCTTCAAACACCTGAGGATTGGAGTGTGTCAAGAACTAAATGTGATAGTTCATAAGAAAAAGGGAGTCGGTAATTGACCGGCGTATGGAGCCGGAAGACCGACCTCGGCTGATCTCGTGCGTGTGGGGGGAGATCCGGAGGTGGATGTAATGGTATTTACCATTATTACAACATTCAAGGCCTTTTATCCCTTAGTCCCCTGAAATCACTTGAAATACTTTGAAATGCTTGATTTCCTCCGCTTCAATTGTTCTATCCGCATGTGCACATGTACACTCGGCTTGTTCGTTTTCACGTGAGCCTATTCATTGATCCTCTAAGATATGTATAATCTCAATTTTATCCCTGTTATGCTCGGCATGGAAGATTCCTTCGCACTTTATATCCAAATTTAGTCTAGTTCCTTCACCCAGGCACAACACTATAATGAATAGCAACATTAAATCAGCCTCTTGTTAACCTTATACTCGTGATGTACCACATTATGCTAAGTCAGGCAAACGGATTCCCTTTCTAATACTTGGAAGTAGATCTTGCAGCGGTTCTGGAGTAATTCCGAGGTAAATCGGCAGAAATATAGAATAGATCCACAAATTATATAACGTTCGTCTGATCAAATTCGGCATCTGATATTACACCATGTTGCTGCCTCAGTTCACTTTGATCTAGATAGCGCAGTGCTGCTCTACTGTAAAATATAGTACAGTGAGATATCAGATGCTTTTCCTCCGTAGACAATTGTTGATATGCCTATTTGAACATTTCCAAGGTTGTCCAGAGGTTTTGAATGAACGCCGGAACATGAAAGGTGATATTTTTTGTGGTATGATCACAATCATTTGAAAAGACACGAGGATACCAAAGGAAGCAAGAGCAAGTTTAAAGTCTCGATCTCTATAAAAACAAAGATCGAGGAGGCAAGCCATTATATTTGTCTGATTATGTGGACAACATCAGTTCCCACTTGAATTAAATTGTTTATCATACAAGTCAGGAGTTCATCTTCTGTCCCGCGAAATGCACCACCTAGCCTAATCACCAGCAGATTAGACAGGATATGCCCGCGATTCTCTCATACATTCATGGGTCATGTCGCAGGGGGTAGGATATTTCAAGTCGCAAGGGCCGGGTAGTCGCTGTCGCATCGATGGTATCTCGTTGATATTACTGATTGTGCATTGTCGCGTGGGGGTAGAGTCCGTGGAATTAAGCAAAGGCTGGTTGGAAGACAACAGCCCAAAAGGGTGAGCAAGTATGTGTCAGGCGCAGTGGGGCTAGTCATTGGGTGGCCGAATTACTCTTGTTCGCGAATCTCGGTCTGGCGGTTGCGATCGCCCATTGTTGTGGTGTCGTAGCCATTAGCCTCGAGGTAGTCGCGGAACCTGGCATCCTCCAAAGTGATGGTATCCTGAGAAAAGGTCAGCACATCAACAATGTACTCTACATGTAGTAGTACATACCTGGTTAATCTGCGGCAACATGAAGATGGCCATGAATGCGGCCAAGATACACAGTGCGCTGGAGACGAAGAAGGGGTCCTGGCCTGCGCGGGTCGGGTTTGGTGCGTTCTTTTGAATAACTGGAATCACGTAGGCGCCCACAAAAGCTCCGACCTTCCCGAAAGCGGCAGCATATGAGTAGTATTGCCCACGAATAGCGGTCGCGCTGGTCTTGGCTGCGCAGAGACCGATGTTGTCGCCAGGTCCCATTTCACCGAGGGCAGAGAAGATTCTGTACTCAAAATATCAGGATTGGCAATTGGTGGTCTAAGGACCTTGTTGGTAACTTACCCGAATACGACAACAAAGGCTGCCACGTTTTCCGGGGTCGCAAGCCACTTGTAGCATCCAGCCATGATGAACCCGATGACGCCCTGGAGACCAACACCAATGGCAAGGGTGTAGCGAGGACCAATCCAGTCAGCCATGAAGGCTCCAAGGGCGGAACCCGGAATGTAGAAAGAATTGACCAAGGTAGACCAACCGAAGCTCTTCCACAAGGGAGCGTCCTCGCCTAGGATGATGGATAGCCAAGCTGAAGAATAAATACCGAAGCTGTAGGCAGAGAAGTCATAAAGGAACCAGATAACAGAAACAACAGTCTATATAGAACACCCAGTCAGTTAGTCGGTTCACGCCTGTAAGGGCAACATGTAGACGGGGTTTGGTACCAAGCGCTTCCAATAGAATCTAAACTTGTTAGTCAACGAGTCCACGCACTCAGGAATATTGTACTCACTTGATAATTAGCACGATCGGAAACTTGTGCATGCGCTCCCGGGTGAACTCCTCAGGCTCATTCAGCTTTAGTCGGAGATACATTAAACTCAGAGGGGGGATTACTCCCAGCCCCAGAGCCACACGCCAGCAAGCATGCAGATGCTTCTCAGTGAAGATCAGGACCAGAATCATGGACACCAAAGCAGCAACCACGAAACCGAAATCAATCTGGAAGTTGGTGAACATGATAAACCAGCGATTGCGATGCCCTTGCTTGAGCTCTCCGGTATTCTCCGCTGCGCCTACTGATCCAGCAGGGTATTCTCCGCCAATGCCAATGCCCAAGAAGAAA